GCACCAAATTCATTAACAAGCCCCTTGTGTGGGCTACAGGGCCCCACTTTAGGGACAAAAGGATAGAGTAACTGCACCTCCCATCTAACAAGCATGTCATAACAGGCGAGACTGACTAGGGCTTTGCTGAAATCAAGAAAGCCTTTTTTGAGCCAAAAAAGCATGCATATCATAGCCTAGCTGTAAACCACTATGCAATGTGTTAAATGCCCTTTTAAGGCGATAGCAGAAAAAGAGGAATTAAGAGAGTGGTATGGAGACCTTGTTAGAATTCAAACAACTTTTAACAACGGAATGACAACAGCCAGTGCTACCGACTGTGCTTGGCTGTAGACTCTTCCTTCCCACAACACTTAATGACAGAATTGGAGGTTAATGTTTATCTGAGCATTACTATTTTTCGGTGCCTCTCATCAAGTGTCACACCTACATAGCACAACACTCAGTACGGTGCATCATCTGTCACACACACACACATCAAGTGTCACACCTACATAGCACGATACTCAGTGCGGTGCATCATCTGTCACACACACACACATCAAGTGTCACACCTACAAAGCACGACACTCAGTGCGGTGCATCATCTGTCACACACACACACATCAAGTGTCAGACCTACATAGCACAACACTCAGTGCGGTGCATCATCTGTCACACACACACATCAAGTGTCACACCTACATAGCACAACACTCAGTGCGGTGCATCATCTGTCACACACACACACATCAAGTGTCACACCTACATAGCACTATACTCAGTGCGGTGCATCATCTGTCACACACACACACATCAAGTGTCACACCTACATAGCACGACACTCAGTGCGGTGCATCATCTGTCACACACACATACATCAAGTGTCACACCTACATAGCACGATACTCAGTGCGGTGCATCATCTGTCACACACACACACATCAAGTGTCACACCTACATAGCACGACACTCAGTGCGGTGCATCATCTGTCACACACACACATCAAGTGTCACACCTACATAGCACAACACTCAGTGCGGTGCATCATCTGTCACACACACACACATCAAGTGTCACACCTACATAGCACGACACTCAGTGCGGTGCATCATCTGTCAAACACACACACATCAAGTGTCACACCTACATAGCACGACACTCAGTGCGGTGCATCATCTGTCACACACACACATCAAGTGTCACACCTACATAGCACGACACTCAGTGCGGTGCATCATCTGTCACACACACACACATCAAGTGTCACACCTACATAGCACGACACTCAGCGCAGTGCATCATCTGTCACACACACACACATCAAGTGTCACACCTACATAGCACAACACTCAGTGCGGTGCATCATCTGTCACACACACACATCAAGTGTCACACCTACATAGCACGACACTCAGTGCGGTGCATCATCCGTCACACACACACACACATCAAGTGTCACACCTACATAGCACGACACTTAGTGCGGTGCATCATCTGTCACACACACATCAAGTGTCACACCTACATAGCACAACACTCAGTGTGGTGCATCATCTGTCACACACACATCAAGTGTCACACCTACATAGCACGACACTCAGTGCGGTGCATCATCTGTCACACACACACCAAGTGTCACACCTACATAGCACAACACTCAGTGTGGTGCATCATTTGTCACACACACACATCAAGTGTCACACCTACATAGCACGACACTCAGTGCGGTGCATCATCTGTCACACACACACATCAAGTGTCACACCTACATAGCACCACACTCAGTGTGGTGCATCATCTGTCACACACACACATCAAGTGTCACACCTACATAGCACAACACTCAGTGCGGTGCATCATCTGTCACACACACACACACATCAAGTGTCACACCTACATAGCATGACACTCAGTGCGGTGCATCATCTGTCACACACACACATCAAGTGTCACACCTACATAGCACAACACTCAGTGTGGTGCATCATCTGTCACACACATCAAGTGTCACACCTACATAGCACGACACTCAGTGCGGTGCATCATTTGTCACACACACACACATCAAGTGTCACACCTACATAGCACGACACTCAGTGCGGTGCATCATCTGTCACACACACACATCAAGTGTCACACCTACATAGCACGACACTCAGTGCGGTGCATCATCTGTCACACACACACACATCAAGTGTCACACCTACATAGCACGACACTCAGTGCGGTGCATCATCTGTCACACACACACATCAAGTGTCACTCACACCTACATAGCACGACACTCAGTGCGGTGCATCATCTGTCACACACACACATCAAGTGTCACACCTACATAGCACGACACTCAGTGCAGTGCATCATCTGTCACACACACACACATCAAGTGTCACACCTACATAGCACGACACTCAGTGCGGTGCATCATCTGTCACACACACACACACACACACATCAAGTGTCACACCTACATAGCACGACACTCAGTGCAGTGCATCATCCGTCACACACACACACACATCAAGTGTCACACCTACATAGCACGACACTCAGTGTGGTGCATCATCTGTCACACACACATCAAGTGTCACACCTACATAGCACGACACTCGTGGTACATCAGTCACACACACATGTGTGTAAAGCCAACACTATGTGTAGCACATGACACACACATGTGTAAAGCTAACACTATGTGTAGTGCATGACACACATTTGTGTAAAGATAACACTAAGTGTAGCACACAACACACATATGTGTAAAACCAACACTATGTGTAGCACATGACACACATATGTGTAAAGTCAACACTAGGTGTAGCAATTATACAAATGTGTAAAGCCAACACTTGGTGTAGAAAATGACAGCAGATCAGTTGGTAAAGAGACAAGGACAATATGTGATTTTAAAATTGAACCCCCCCCCCCCCCCCCCCCAATGTTAAATAAGCCATGTAAAAATGTAATGTGCAATGTTTCACACTGTTAACATGCAGATATCAAAAACAACAAATACTGATGATATTGTCTTCTGCTCAAATTCCTATATCTGAATGGCCCGTGTGGGGCAACACAGTATTTCAATGCCTCAAGTTTGGGGAAAACAGAGACAAATAAAACACAAAAGACAAGAGGAGCCTAAACAGCCTGCAGAATTCTGTTCTATTACTAATAATCTACAATCATTCATTAAAGAATGCCTGTGAAGAATAGAGTGACTAAACTAGCATGACAGAATTATTAATCTGGAGCTTTCATCCTCACACCACAATTTAACACTATTGTCTGGAAAGACAGAAAGGTACCAATCAAGTGTATGGCAAGAACAAAACCAGTTTCAGCATATAAAGATCTGAACTAAACAAGTTTCAGCAAATAAAGATGTGAAGTAAAGCTGCCCAAGGTACACACACATAATATAAATTTTACAAAAATGTACAATGATACCACTAACAAATCATCTGGAACCCACAAGGTAAAAGAAACAACAGCAGGTCTGCAATACAAGGGAAGACAATTAGAGACAAAGATTAACAAAGTGGATGAGAGGGAAGGAGCTGTAGAAGAAAAAGAGTCAATTACACCAGCAAGCATGTCATACCCCCCTCCCCCAGGAAGCCACAATGAAATAGCCATGTGCCTACATTGGAAAGCAGAAGTAACAGCTCAACACAACTCTTAGGCAAACCCTTTATTACAGGTCTGACACATCAAGTAATTCCCACACACAATGTCACAGCATCATATGGTGTGGGGAATATTTCCTTTCCTCCCTCACTACCTCTATTCATCTTTATCCATTAAACAAACACAGGTTCCTATGTCAAGAGTTCCCCGTGCGGATTCTAGGTCCATATTTTCTGGTGAAAAAAAGGAAAAAGAAAAAAAAAAACTGCAACTTAGCCAGCTGGTCGTGAAGATCAGACTAATTTAGGGCTTCCTGGAATAGGATGGACTGGACTGAAAGGCACAGATATCATGGACTAGCTGTAAACAACATCCCAACTGCCAAGGTAAGGACCAAGTCTGAAGAATTTTATCAGTTATGACCAAGTCACTTTAGCTGGGAAAATTAACTCACTTTCTCTAAATGGCAGGATTCATGATCACAAGAATCAGATGCAAAATGATCCACTAGTACAAGTGAGTCACATGACCCATAAGTACTAGAACCAATGAGTGGAATGACCCATGCATCAAGGATCCATAAGTGGCAGGCTTATTGAATGATATGATTTATGAGTGGTAGTATTAATGAGTTAAGTGATGGAGCATCGATCCACGATGTCATCTGGAATTTAGATTATGGCAGACTGTCTAAGGAATTATACAAATGAACCTAGGGCTCAACATTGCATCAGCATCATGAGCGAACAAGATTATATGAGGAGTAGGATTAATAGTTTCTAGGATTCGCAAGTGATAGCAATGAGGAAAAAAATGTATTAAAATTTCAAAGATTCTAGAGGAAATAATAAAAGCGTGTCTGAAATAGATGAGTGCCAAGATTAAGAGTCATCTTGGTTCACCCAAAACTGAACTTGCAATGCTCAAAAGACACTACCAATGGTTAATTAACAAAATGTGTGTAATCACATACCAGCACATAATGGAAGAAAGTAATTACCACTGCCTCCCAAATGTTCACAGATCACTAGTTTTGATAACATATTCCATACACATGTTCCGTCTGCCAAGTTGGAATCTTGCAGCACACAACCTCCATGTTGTTAGTGAAGGATAGATACAAATCTCTGTGTGAAGTAATCAAGAACACAAGAATGCTGGTCCAAGATGTGTGGTGCAATTCACTTGTCAACGATTAACTTTCATTGCAGAATGCAGCTTTGGTTGGTCTTGAAGACGGTCAACAACAGTAACAGCAAACAATAGAAAGCACCTGGCCACAGCTGTGCCCGTTAGGCCCCGAGCCGGCGACACCAATCGTGTTAATAAAGGCGTTACCCTGGAAACAGCGAGCAACCAGCAAAAGTGTCAAATGTCGGCAAGAAGATGGCTAAGACGCACTGTGAGAGTTGTTAGTTGCAGACCCCGGATTGTTTGACAGTAAGATTCCAGAGCTGCTACTTCCGATCCCACCACTGCTGGTATTCAAGGATACTAAACTGGAGTACGTGGTGCCATCTGTCATATTTCTGCATGTCAAGAAAACAAGAAACATAATTTAGGCACACATTTTGAGAAACAAAATGTAAGAGAATTGATTTCACTGCACAAGATTTTCTTCCGTATGACCCAGTCTCTCTTTACTAAGCAGCTGGCCACCTGCTTAAATGCATTTTTCAATGTACTTTTTCAATAAGGCTACATTTTTTCATTAAATGTTTTTCCAAAAGGCTCCATGTTACTTGTGGCTGTTGTTTAAATATAATGGAAGGTACAGCAAACGCCTAAACATATTACAAATCCTTCAATCTAGTACAGACCAATACAAAACAAGTTTAGCGTACTCAGCAGCTCAACTGTGAAACTATCTTCCGCAACAAATCAAAAATACCAGTGGTCCCTATATATAAATATGTAATATCGTCTGAGCCCAGATAACACACCCACTACCCCCCCCCCCCCCCAACGGAAGATAAAAGTATTTTAGAAATAGTGCGCATTTTTCCTAGATTTATTACAATTCCCACAGTTTACTGTAGCTAGAAATAGTGCACATTTTTCCTAGATTTATTACAATTACCACGGCTTACTGTAACTAGAAATATGCACATTCCAGTGCTTGTATATTTTGATATTGTTGATAATGTTTACTACTACTTGATGAATGAATGAAATGATGTATAAAAGGAGAGAGATTAAAAGGCAGAATGTTAGACAGGGCTGCGGGCATAATTCTTAAACCGTTGAAAATAACGTTTGTGTTTCCCACAGAGCATGACCACAGATTCAAAGAAAAATCAGAGAATAATTATACTCTGGAACTGAACAATCTTCTTCTTCTTTGCGTTCACCAGTTATAAACTCCAGTGGAAAGTTCTGGTTGTTCACACACTTTTGGACTTTTGTCCCATTCCAGAACTTGAGTTCTGCCTGCACATCCATTTTACAGATCTGTTGGTTCCTCATCTCTTAGTCAGAAGCATTCAGATTTGGAGGAAAAGTCTCATGTTACAATTAGGCAAGCTCTTAAAGAATGCCAGATTTTATCCTACTGCTGACAAAATACTCAATGACGTTTCAATTACAAATTTTGGAGCATTATAATCTACTCTGTTACAAAACAATCCACATTTCTAACATTTTGGGGAAACTCCTATCTCAGCTACCAGATCTATACACATACAAAATAAACAATACCTGAAACTGTCATTAAAATATGATATTTAAAGATAGTATCTGATATCTGTAACACATGAGTGATAAGTAATACAAATCCACATCTATAACTTGTATTATCTTCTTCTTCTTCGTAATCACTTGTTGTAAACTCCTGCAAAAAGTTGCTCGTTGTTCAACCACCTCCGGATGTTAGTTTTGTTCCAGAACCTGAGTGTTGCAGGCACATCCGTTTCTCAGACCTGGCTCGTTTAGTCCCTTGCTTCTCAGGCAGATGTACTCCGCCCTCAAAAGATACCCCCAGTTAGTCTACTCCTACAACATGCTTGTTGGGTAGGCAGTGGGTGCATGCTTGTTGGGTAGGCAGTGGGTGCATGCTTGTTGGGTAGGCAGTGGGTGCATGCTTGTTGGGTAGGCAGTGGGTGCATTCTTGTTGGGTAGGCAGTGAGTGCATTCTTGTTGGGTAGGCAGTGGGTGCGTGCTTGTTGGGTAGGCAGTGGGTGCATTCTTGTTGGGTAGGCAGTGGGTGCATTCTTGTTGGGTAGGCAGTGAGTGCATTCTTGTTGGGTAGGCAGTGGGTGCATGCTTGTTGGGTAGGCAGTGGGTGCATTCTTGTTGGGTAGGCAGTGGGTGCATTCTTGTTGGGTAGGCAGTGTGGCCTCGGTATCCATATGTGGATAATTGTATTATAAAGTGATAAGTAAAGACAGCATCTGTTATCTTCACTATAAAGGGATACATAGAAGCAGAACTTGTTATCTTCACTATAAAGGGATACATAGAAGCAGCACTTGCTGTCTTTACTATAAAGGGATACATAGAAGCAGAACTTGTTGTGTTTACTATAAAGGGATACATAGAAGCAGAACTTGCTGTCTTTACTATAAAGGGATACATAGAAGCAAAACATCCTGTCTTTACTATAAAGGGATACATAGAAGCAGAACTTGTTGTCTTTACTATAAAGGGATACATAGAAGCAGAACTTGCTGTCTTTACTATAAAGGGATACATAGAAGCAGAACTTGCTGTCTTTACTATAAAGGGATACATAGAAGCAGAACTTGTTATCTTTACTATAAAGGGATACATAGAAGCAGAACTTGTTGTCTTTACTATAAAGGGATACATAGAAGCAGAACTTGTTATCTTTACTATAAAGGGATACATAGAAGCAGAACTTGTTATCTTCACTATAAAGGGATACATAGAAGCAGAACTTGTTATCTTTACTATAAAGGGATACATAGAAGCAGAACTTGTTATCTTCACTATAAAGGGATACATAGAAGCAGAACTTGTTATCTTCACTATAAAGGGATACTTAGAAGCAGAACTTGTTGTCTTTATTATAAAGGGATACATAGAAGCAGAACTTGTTATCTTCACTATAAAGGGATACATACAAGCAGAACTTGTTATCTTTACTATAAAGGGATAAATAGAAGCAGAACTTGTTGTCTTTACTATAAAGGGATACATAGAAGCAAAACTTGTTGTCTTTACTATAAAGGGATTCATAGAAGCAGAACTTGCTTTCTTCACTAAAAGAGGGAAAATATTTCACTTTTAAAGTGATAGGTAAAGAAATCATTATACAGTGATGTTTCTCCTATCTTCAATTTAAAGCTACTCTCACCTTCATTATAAAGTGACAAGTAAAGACACTTCACAACAAAGTGACAGATAAGCAAAGACTTACTTGGACTTTAGCTGAGCAGGTTTAAGATAATCATCAGCAGCAAGTTGCAGCACATCTGGCCTCATCTCCTTCTTGTACTGCAGACACCGTCTGATAAAATTCTGAGAAGCCCAAATGTTATTAATGTGGTCACTGGCAAAAGGACAACTTGCAAATCTAAACAAGAACAAATCCAAATATTTGAGTACAAAGAAAACTAACCACATGTGAAAAGAGATATTTGAGAAAGGCTGCTAACAAAACCAGAAGAGACTGTGTGAGAAATGAAGAGATTTCAACAAATTATCAGAGTAATAACCATAGTGAAATTAATCAAGAAACAAAAATTGAAATGGTTTGGCCACCTAGTTTTCTTCTTCTAAGCGTTTACCGGCTGTATACTCCGGGAGAAAGTTCTGGTTGCCCTTTTTCTGGATGTCTGGCAGGTCACTGCACCTCCTCTTTGGACAGACATTCGCCACTCAGTCCAGTCTTGTGCAGCAGCTTCCCAGGGTTCAGGGTTTATACTGAAGTCAAAAACTGTCATTAAATGTCAAAAAGAGGGACTCTGAAATATTATGCCTGTTCTAATGTAAGGCAGAGAATTCGGAAACTGGAACCAACAAATTAGGAACAGATGGGAGTAGGCAGTAAGGGGCAGGCAGCAGAGATGCGTCTGTGATGCAAGATGGGAATCTGCTCAACAGCAAGAGCAAATTAGGTGCTTTATTGTCATCTTACCTCAAACAGGGGGAAATCCATATGTCTTGGAACAGTAATATTTCAGGGGGTGGTAGATAGACTGCATGCAGTCGTGGGACCTAGGGGGCCGCGTTAGTTCAGTCGATAAGAGGCTCGCTTTCAAATCCAGCCGTGACTCGCTGCAGCCCACAGTTGGTGTTCAAAACCAGGCGGCTCCCAGGGTTCAACCAGCCTCTAGGTAATGGGTACCAGAGTTGACACTCTGGGGTAAATGGAGGAACGTTGCTGCAGCTAGAGTTACGTGCGGACGGCGACACAAGCGGACAGTTTCTTATCAGCTGTCCGTACTGGTGGCAGAGAACTTATGGTTTATAATTGTGTGACGCTGGTTCACATCTCCCGACTTAACCTTTTTGCAGTTCTGGGACCTAGGCTGAATGCAGTCTTTAGTGGGACGTAGGTGGGTTGGGGTTAGGGCCAGTTCAAGATGTTTTGGGGTTGTTTAAAGCATCAGAAAGCCAGGAAACTCAGTCTTACCACCCTCTAAAATGTTGGACTGTCCTGTGACGTCATCTGGGGTAGGATATTAATAAAGCACCACAAATTAATGTTTGCCTGGGGAAAAACTGATCAACATGAGGAGACTATATGCAGCTATAAGGGAAGACAGTGTTCAGTACTGCTGTTGGTCCATCTCTTGATGTTACCCACCCAGTTGTATCACTGTCTACCTCCTGCTCGCCTGCCTTTTCAGTGGAGCATAGTCTTTATAAGAGTCATGTTTTTACTGTGGTCAGTACATTTTACTGATGTTTGGTTTCCTCCATCAACTCTCTTACTGTCCTATGCTAATAATAGCAATAGGAGAATTTAACTGTCAGCTAAATACACATGACAACATGTGGTTCAACAACAGAATACACACAGGACAACAATATGACATCACACATGACAACATCACACATGACAACATGTAATTCAACAACAGAATACACACAGGACAACAATATGACATCACACATGACAACATCACACATGACAACATCACACATGACAACATGTGGTTCAACAACAGAATACACACAGGACAACAATATGACATCACACATGACAACATCACACATAACCTGACAACAAAAATGACACCACTCTGACAACATGACAACAATATAAGGTCACACTGACAAAATGTCAGCAGCTATGCATTCACCTTAGCCTCCTGAGTGACCGGGGGTTTGGATGCAAACTCCACCTCTGTAGCTTTCAATATAGTGTTCTCTTCTAAAATGGCCGCCTGGGACAGGTTGTGCCCAAATGGCTGGAAATAGAACATTTGATAAATGAACTGAAGGGTCAGGTGACACAAATAATCACATTGATGGAAATCATAAACGTAGGCCACACAAGCCCTGCTCTGGCAACAGTCTGAAAGATAACGTAACCACAGCAGAGGTTGTTTATAACATGTCGGAGAGGGGTGGCAAACTATCATCAAGTGCCTGATCATATGCTGTTGGTACTTTCTCTTTGTTTGCATTCACCCTTAAAAGGGCAGGTGGCACATTTTGTTGTGGTATACAGCTAGGCTGTGGTATCTGTGCATCCAATTTCAGCAAACCCCTAATTAGTCTCATCTGACAACATGCTTGTTGTGGGGAGCCTATCTTATCAATGTTCTTTTGTTTTCTTTAGGACATTCTCACTTCCTGAATCCACTTCAGATATTAATCTGAATACAGACGGCAACTGTCAATCTGGGGTTGTAGCAACTTCAAGACTGTTGTAGACCAGGGTTAGTCAAGTGAGTTTACTCAGGGGCCAACATTTTGAAACCGGGGATTGTCGCGGGCCACAGGTCCAAGTCCTAGCACAGAAAGATCATCAACACAATACAACTGGCAATGATCCGCAGGTCACCTGCTAGGACTCAGCGGGATTGAATCTTGCCTACAGGGTGCCATTTGAACAGCCAAGAGCTTCAGCAACTTTCTCTTGTACACATACTGGAAACCTCTGATCACTCTTCTCTTTCTTTGTATACTTCAGCAACTTTCTCTTGTTCACATACTGGAAACCTCTGATCACTCTTCTCTTTCTTTGTATACTTCAGCAACTTTCTCTTGTTCACATACTGGAAACCTCTGATCACTCTTCTTTTTCTTTGTATACTTCAGCAACTTTCTCTTGTACACATACTGGAAACCTCTGATCATTCTTCTCTTTCTTTGTATACTTCAGCAACTTTCTCTTGTACACATACTGGAAACCTCTGATCACTCTTCTCTTTCTTTGTATACTTCAGCAACTTTCTCTTGTACACATACTGGAAACCTCTGATCACTCTTCTCTTTCTTTGTATACTTCAGCAACTTTCTCTTGTACACATACTGGAAACCTCTGATCGTTCTTCTCTTTCTTTGTATACTTCAGCAACTTTCTCTTGTTCACATACTGGAAACCTCTGATCCCTCTTCTCTTTCTATGTATACTTCAGCAACTTTCTCTTGTACACATACTGGAAACCTCTGATCGTTCTTTTCTTTCTTTGTATACTTCAGCAACTTTCTCTTGTTCACATACTGGAAATCTCTGATCACTCTTCTCTTTCCTTGTATACTTCAGCAACTTTCTCTTGTACACATACTGGAAACCTCTGATCACTCTTCTCTTTCTTTGTATACTTCAGCAACTTTCTCTTGTACACATACTGGAAACCTCTGATCAGTCTTCTCTTTTTTTGTATACTTCAGCAACTTTCTCTTGTTCACATACTGGAAACCTCTGATCACTCTTCTCTTTCTTTGTATACTTCAGCAACTTTCTCTTGTTCACATACTGGAAACCTCTGATCACTCTTCTCTTTCTTTGTATACTTCAGCAACTTTCTCTTGTTCACATACTGGAAACCTCTGATCCCTCTTCTCTTTCTTTGTATACTTCAGCAACTTTCTCTTGTTCACATATTGGAAACCTCTGATCGTTCTTCTCTTTCTTTGTATACTTCAGCGAAAGATGAAGGGGAAGATGTGAAGGTCTACAGTGTACTCCTTTTAATTGTTGTGGCATGTTATGTTATTACAATCGACTTCACCGTACACTAGGCATTCCCATGAATCCTCAGTCCTCACATTTAGCAGACACTCCAAGATACCTCTACTGACTGTTTCCATGAGAAATTGTGTGGCATAAGTTGGTCTTGTAAAAACAGATCCTGTTTTCACGTCAGTGTAAGTGGAATATTTACTTTCAAGATGGAAAAAAAAACAAACGTTAGCATCTCACAAAACCGACTTCAACAAGGTAAAAAACATGTCATAAGCTACAAATTGAGTCATAAAACAAGGAATCAGATGTCAGCATACCTTCTTGCCATATAAGCACTGGTAGAAGATAACACCCACAGACCAGACATCAACCTTGGAAGAGATTTTTGGTGGAGTTTTCCCCACAACAAAACATTCTGGTGGCAAATACCTGGACAGAAAACAAACTAATAATGACACATCATATCTGACTATTATCCATTCTTAAATAAAAGATGTTCATCTTACAACATAACGTATCTCCTATCATCTGTGCCCTTTCTCTCTCTCTCAATGTCTACATAGTTATAACATTCCAGGTGCCAGTTCTGGAGATTGTACTAGGTAAAAGGAACTAAGTCAATGATCCGGCAATTTCTTTTTGGTATTCTCCACATTGCTTCATTGTTCTTCTAGAACACTGGCTTTCAACCTTTCTAATGCCGCAACCTTTTAACAGTTTCCTCATGTTGTGGCGACCCCTAATTAATTATTTTCCTTCATTACTTCAATGAATGTGTGTTGTCTGATGGTCTTAGGTGACCCATGTGTAAGGGTTGTTCGACCCAAGAAAGGTCGCCACTGGCAGGTTGAGAACTACTGTTCAAGAACATCTTGTCATCTTTGCTGGTTGAGTTATTCTCGCTTATTTAAAAAAGAAAAAAAAGATTTCTTAGTGCTTGCTTTTGTGTGTATCTGGATTGTGTGCAGGATGAAGTAACCAGTCATATATCTCATGTAACTGTGTTACGAGGGTAAAGGAAGGAAAAGACACTGACACCGGACAGTAACACAGTAAAATAATAGTATTACTGATCAGATCTACCATCATATAGCACAACAAGAACGCCCTTTACTTTCGTCACTTTCTCTCACTTTCTTCACTGGAATGCAATTTGGGGCATGAAGATTTCACCATGAAAACTGGTCTTCTCATGACAGAGCTTACGCACCGAGTGCCTATCAGTCCAACACAACACAGCTAGCATCCTATACCCACCACACTTCACGGCAGGAAACAGGGCCCTCTACTTACAGTATAATTTAAAAATTTTTTCTTTCAAACTAACTTGACTCCCAGTTTGTTCCTGCCTAAAAGAATACCAGAAAGAATACCAAAAAGAATACTGGCAAGCAAGCTGGCCCGTACCATGTTGAGCACATTACCCACAAATTGCCAGTTGGTCTGAAAGGAATGTCAGTCTATTATAACATAACTGATGCAACCGGTGGTGTCAACATGGTGCACTCACTTTAAAGTTTGCAATATGGTTGCATTTTTTTTTTAAAACACCTCCATAATATATATGATTTTTTCAATAGAACTTACACAATTGTTTTTGACAACAGAACTGATACAATGGTTTTCGACAACAGAACTTATAAGATGGTTTTTGACCAGCAGAAAGTATAAGGTAGTTTTTATTTTAAACCAGTAGAACAGATAATGCTGATTTTAAACAGTAGTTCATAAAAGGTGGTTTTTAACCAGCAGATCATGTAACTTGGATTTTGATCAACAGAGCACATAACGTTGTTTTTAATCATTTTTGCAATAGGATTTTCTTTATTTCAACATATAAAATAAATAAATCATTATTCTGAGCCAACAATAATTTTTGTTCCTTCTTTTTTTTTCTTTTTAAAATCACCTATAGCAAAGAACATATGAGTGGCGATTGATCACTGCAGAAACCAATTCGATTTTTAGCTTATCATCACTTTTAAAGAATGGTCTTTGGGTCCCATGCTAAGCTTGGCACTATAGTACATGGCATTAGCTTGATGATGTTTCCACAACCAGTCTTACACAGTATCTACGTATAGGATAACTAACAAAAAACAGCAATAAATAAATACTTACCAGTACGTGCCGGCCCCCTGAGATGTGAGGTCCATGCCTACCTCAGGATGAAAGTTGCTCTCATCCATCACTTTACTCAGGCCAAAATCTGTAATTTTGATCTCACCGCTGACCGAACCACTTCCCAGCAGTATGTTGCCTGCAACCAAGACAACAGAGATCAGTAACAATTATTTTGTGCAAGGGATAGTTGTAAAGAAAAACACCAACACCCTACACGATCAGAACATCAAGGACAATGGGTTCATAAACAGCATCCTCCGCCTGAAAAGAACAGAGCAGTTCCTGGAAAACGAAGCAGAGGCCAACCTACACAAATGTGGATACAAGACAACAAGCACACAGAGCAGGAGAATTGGCTAGAGAAAGAGAGACTGTCTGGTGATCCATGAAGACAGCGGCGTTCTGGCAAGGACATGCTGATTGATGACGGGACAGTTATGATAATTTCTGTGCAACCAGTAGAGCTCCAGCGTCTGTGGCTTAGGCGTTGCCATGTGCTTGGTAATGTTGGGGTGCCAGTTTCCATCCCAGCTGCTGACGATTTGTCTTGCGTTGGTCGGGGCGGTGGTATCGAGCGCTGACTGTTCAGCAAGCAATGGCAAACTAGTGAACATAAAATTTTCCTAGAAAAACCACAACAGCCAAAAAATGCTGGGGTTAGTTCTGCAACGACCTGTAAAGGAACGCAACTAACTTTTTAAACCAGTATAGCAAATTACAAGGCTATCAAATTTACCGTATACGCTGTAGAGAAAGCTGAGTTAGTTGTGTATCCTTTAGCAGACATTTAAACCAACCCCAGCATTGGTTGGATGTTTATGGTTTCACTAGATAAGTCCCCTGTGTGGGTTCCGGGACCCCATTGTGGGGAAAACAAGAATAGACCCACTGCCTCCCCAAAAGCATGTCGTAAGAGTCAACTAATTGGGGAGCTTCCTTTGAAGTCGGAGTGCATCTGCCGGATAGGCAAGGAACCAACAGTCTGTATTCAAGAGAATGAGATCTGTAAAACTGATGCACACGCAACACTCAGGTTCTGGAGCAGAACTGCAATTCAGTAGTGGACGAGCAACCAGAACTTTCGGCCAGAGTTTACAGCTGGTGAACGCGAAGAAGAAGAAGACTAGATAAGTTTTAGTAGTTTGCCATTGTTTAAATGAACAGTCAGCCCTCAATACCATAGTCAAAATTAATGCAATGTGGCCTGCTTCTGGAACTGAACCAAGTATTTTGGAATTATAAAGTGTGTTTCCAAGCCTACACTAAAGTCTATGGCTACCATATACTGTCTGACCAGTGAAGCAGGAATGATGTCTTCCTATTTGGTGGACAGGAAACTTACTTGGCTCTAAACTCTTGACATGTTGCCAATGTTAATGATGCTAATGTACACACAACTTCTCACATCAACATTTCACCGAAACAACAAGGAAACTTCAGTTTGCCCAAGATCACACCCTTGCAACAACCGGACCTTCTGTGATCCAGAAGCTGTCGACTTGGTTAACATGTTTTCAGATTAATATGGAGAGCATCCATTTGCCCAATACTATGTCAGGGTTGGAAGCAGTCTGTGCTTCGCATAAGGCAATCTCTGCTTGCTACAGAGGGGTTTACATGCTGCCAGAAGAACACAAACTCCACCCGACTATCACACTGTCTTGTCTATTTTTTGCTATGCCAAAAGGATCTCTGACAGTATCAATGTAGCATGACCTGAAACGTGCCACCAGATTTTCTCAAACAACTAATCAGCGGCCTGGTTGGCTGCCACATACTTAGACATGCTGGAAATAGAGAAATGCAAGGTCTGTGGTATTGGAAAAAGAACCAAGAATCCTCACAGCCAATGCAGACATCAAGATGTCGAACTTACCTGGTTTGAGGTCATAGTGTATCACAGGTGGTTTGATTTCATTGAGATAACGAAGAGCACTGACTGTCTGACTGATGATGGACCGGGCTTCCTTCTCGGGAATACTCTTGTTTTGTTTCAGGTAAAAATCAAGATCATTCCCCTTCTGATATTCTAACACAGTACAAAACCTGGAGAACAAACAAACAAAAAGGTCGTCAGCTTGGTCACATCACATTACAAAAACTATTTTTATAATGACTCAATGGCTATTAATTACATATAGCTATTAATTACATATATAAAGTACAACACTGGCCTATTGAAAATGACTGGCAAGTAAATGAAGTAAACGCTGTGGCTTCAGTCTATATTCTGGTCTTCTGACTTACTTGTATTTTTTATCTTAAATTTAAAAACCACCCCCCCCCCCCCCCAAATAGACAAAAGTTCCGGCTTCACCATTGCTATATAAATCAACATGGTAGTTTTCATCTGTGCTATTCTTACATATACCAAACAAGACTCAGTGCCTCAGTCAACCACTGCTGCAATTTGTCCGGAGGCTTGTTGTTCATTTTGCCATTTCTAGCCACATCGTGATGGGTCTCTCCATTTAATTTTTATACTTCCTGTAGGTCCTTTGCTTTCAAACTGTTCTCTATTTTAGCTTTCAGTAGACTGTTATATCATTTAGTATGACCCACCTAACCTGTCTTTCTCATTGTTATTTCCTTCAGCAAGGCGCTTGTTATACATAGCAGCTCTAGAATTCCTGTGAGTTTAAAAAATCCAATGCATACTTACACCAGTCTACTGTATAATACGACTTAAAAAGCCTCAATTGTATGTGGTATTTTATTTTGTTACGTCTCATATTTACACTTACTAGAGTGGTGCTGAATACACAAGCATAATATTGTTTCTGGTCTGAAACAAATATTTCACCAAATTTGTTCTACTGGGTTCTAATGTGGTTGTGCTAATTTAACAGTTTTCATCTAAGCTTATAAACTACCACTGATTCATATGAGCAGTTGCTATCTATACTCATCAGCAGTAATTTATACTCATGAGTTATTATTTATACTCATAAGTTATAACCTATACTCATAAACTGATCTATACTCACGAGTTGTTATCGATTTCAAAGACATCAAAAAGTTTCACAATGCGGGGGTGGTCCAGAGACTTGTGTATGTTGTATTCCCGGAGAGCATGCCTGCAGAAATGAAGCCTTCAATAACACAGGGATGGAGAACTTGTGATGCCATCAAAGCAGCAGTATAAAATTCTAGTTGACCTCAAGAGGAACAGCTCACTGTACTGGGGGTTATCCCTTTTGGTTTGGTCACTCTTCACAGAACTCTTCACAGAACTGCATTACGCCTGCTGCACAAAGCACCAACTCAAAGCACCAAGGACAATAAAGAGGGATCTCCTTAAAATACTGCTCGTGGGTTCGCTAACTGGCGGAGCCGGACTATTTTCAAAAATGACCTTGGCTCCCAGGTCGACCCAGCCTTGAGTGGGTACCGGGTGCAGTCCTGGGAAGTAAAGGCAGCCGGCGTGATGCTAACCACATCACCCATCTTGTGCTGATTGGTCTAAAAAAATATTGGTCTAGCCCTATATGCCCTATACGCCTAAAGGCATGGAAAAGGGTCCTTTACTTACTAAAATACTGCACTCCTCAACTGAACACATGTCTGTGAAACAAACCAAGAGGTAAGGCTGACCACTTCACCATAAAAACCTCCAACAGTGTAAAAACATTCATAAGCACCAATCAGCCTTTACAGAAAAGTAGAAGTAATTAGGTATCACTGGATTTACTAGGACACTAGAAAAACTGAAAACTGTGGGAACTCTGGATTCAAACTTATCATCTTCACAAAATTACAGTCTCATTAAACTAACAAGTGCCCATTGTGGCTTCATGAACTAGGCACCCTTGAATAAGAGTTCTCCATTTCTATGAGTGCAAATCAATACACACTTTCCGTGAAACTTCCAGAGTCCCATTTGTTGTAAAAAAAATTTTTTTTAAAAAAATTAGACTGCACCCCCTTCCCCCAACTAACATGCCTTAAAAGATGACTAATTAAAAGTTTGCTGACATGGCAAAGAATGCCAATACCTTCATTCATCACAAACTAAGTTATCAAGCCTTGGACTGATAGCTTCATAAGATCATAAGCAAATGGTTTCTGTCACTTAAATGTCGCATAAGGCAGCTGTACATCTGGTTAGCAAATTTTTTTTATTACTGAGCCTCCAATCACTTGCCAAGAGTTTTGTCTTCTAGAACTCTCCCAAGACTTTTAAGTTTTCAGTTTTGCTCAAACCTTAACGGCCTTCTTTTTCTACAATTTTGTGTGCTCCTTTATTTCATCAGGGATGTCATCGTTTGTCTTTTATTCAGTCTAGTTTAACCTTTCCACTATGTGATAATCACGTCTCAACTGCCTCCAAACATACTTTTAAAAAAAAGACTGAACTATTTAAATGAATTACAGATGAATTACCAAGGGAAAATTAATGTTAGGTCAAGTGAATATAATATAAATAATGAAGCCATAAATAACAGTTTGCAATTTATTGCCATGCATATTTCATTGTATCTTCCATAGTGTTTACAAAAGTAGCAACTGATTTATATGAAGCAAAAAAATGATTCCTTCTAACTGAAACAAAAAAATCAACTACATTTATAAGTAACTGCCTGTTTTACCATGGCAAAACTGAGGTTCAGGGTTATATCCTTCTGTCTGCATAGGCCTGCAAAGAACTAGTTTACTGTTGTGGCTTCCACATACTGTGTTTCAGTTAGGATTTATTTATTTATTCGTTTTAATCAATTGTTACTGTAGTATGCACCTGATGAGAAACAGCGAAATATACCAAGCAATAAATTGTGCAATCTATTGTTTGTGTCTTCTGTGCTCAAATTTAAATAGATGAAGAAACATTGCTTCTAACTGAACATATCTTTATGCTCAGACAAAACTAGCCAATGGTTTTACTGATGATTTAATTTAGCTAAAAAAAAAAACACACACACAGACACACACACACGTTACCATGATTTTTGTGTCTATGACCATATGTAAAGTGAAGGTCCCTTTTTCAGGCCTTCGGGCGTATTGGGCATATAGGGCTAGACCTATATTTGTATAGGCCAATTGCCACTTGGTGGGTGATGTGGTCAGCATCATGCCAGCCGCCCTTACTTCCCAGGACTGCACCCGGTACCCACTCAAGGCTGGGTCGACCTGGGAGTCAAGGTCATTTAAAAAAAAAAAAAAGTCCGGCTCCACCAGGATGCAAACCCACAACCTTCTCATCCGCAGGGGGCGGCTAGCCACACACGCCACGGCAACTCCTCAAGACCACACGGCTCAGAGGATAACTTAAACTGTTCTTTTTATCATGTTGACTCCAGTTAATTACTGTTCACTCTTGATTAATTATCCTTCCTTTACAGTCAGAATGCATCTGCCTGAGAGATGAGGAAGCAACAGATGCACATAAATAAGCTACACCTGTAAAACAGCTGTCATGTCATGCAACACTCCAGTTCTGGAATAAGACATAGGAATTAACAGCTGTGAATGTGAGGAAGAAGAAGAGTAGTTGTTGAACTTACTTGATATAATTGGCCTTTTTGTCCTCCTTCCACTCCCTGTTGAGCTGGTGGATCTTACAGGCCACATACCTCTGCTCCTTCAGATCAAAACCCTGATAATGAATAAGAAAAGTGCACAATTGTTGCTGCCTGCTCCTTGTTGTATCTTAATTTCTTTTCATTCTGTGTTTACTTTTAGAAAGGCAGTTGGCACCTTATTTTGTGGTTTACAAATAAGCTGCAATATCTGCACCTTCTGGAAGTAAGCATCCAATTTCAGCATAACCCCAAATTATTCACCTTTTATGAAATGATTATTAGGGTTCAGAGGAAACGTGGGAAGCTTAGACAGACAAGCAGAGACAGTACAGGAAGAAGTACTTTCCTCTGCCATTAAAACTGCCTGTACCTAACAATTCTGCAGTGTAGGCGGGGTGGGGGTGTGTTTGAACATGAGAATTTAGGGCCACCCATTTAGTGCTGTTGCCACATACTGTGTGGGTAGGAATTGTATTTTAGGCCCTGGCAGAAAATAACCCCTTACCTTATTAACATTCAAATCTAAGTCCTGTGCTGTAACTGTTCGGTCAGCTGCTCCTAAAATCACCTCCATCAAACTAGCAAATGACAATATGTATGGTAGCGAGGAGTGACCACCAGGCAATCTGGCTGACCCACAGCACTCAAGCAAAAGGCAAGACATACTATCAGACTGCCACTGTGACCTTCAACACTGCACTGCCTGCTGGAAACAGGGATTGAGTGATGAGTAATGGTAATCATCACAGCGATACAGACAGGTGCTCCGATCTCCGCTTCAAAAGGTCCAAAAGCATAACAAGACTGATGACGCCTGTTCTGTGTCAATTAATCAAAAGTATTGTCCCCTTGATCAAATGCTGATCTTTTGCCGCTCCAGGGTGCACCCCCTGTGTCCATCAGCAGAGAAGGAGAGAGAGTGTTTATAGGAATATTTCAAGTACTATGATGTTGGTTCTTAACTCAACTGACAACAAGTATCGGCATGTCCTGATCCCCAATGTCAGCTTCAGAACAGACACCTGCAGACAGACTGAAACCTGCATGCATGCTAATCCGCTCTTCATCTCTGTGCCCAAACTCAACAGGAGGGCAGGTCTAAATCATCCATTATCTAAATAAATCAATAAAATCTACACTATTTGATACTATCTGGTCAAGAAGTGGAAAGACAATAGTCATTAAAATCAAACTGACCTTATGTACTTCACTAAAACCACCTTTACCAAGCAAGCACAGTAAGAGATAGCGGTCGTTTAGCGTCGGATGATCTTTAAATCTGAAACACAAAAGTATGTGCTGCAATGTCACAAGGAATATAACACAGATGATTAATAGTTTGTGTAATAAACCACTGTTACTTTAAATTATTTCTCATCTGAGTTCTAGGTTCCCATTTTGGCAGGAAAAGAGCAGCAGCACCACCCCCCCCCCCCCCCCCCCATGTCATAATAGTCAACAAAGTAGGGGTGCTTCATTCGAAGCATCATCATCTATTTGATGTTCAAGCGAAGAATGTTAAAGACAGACAGATGTGGCTGCCAGTTTCTTGTCTCAAAACCCTTCCTCCCTCCTCCCATTGTTTTAATATACTCAAGTACCTTGAACTGTCCTCATTATGAATGCGCTTGAGTTCTCGTATATGCAAGTTCCTCTCCCTGTCCAGCTTTTCCATCTCTAGCTGAAGGTCAGCATCTTCCTTTTTCAAGGCCGCCGCCCGAAGCTTCAAGATTTCGTCCTGCTCATAAAATTCGGCCAGTGTTAAGCTGAAAGTAACACAAACATCATGAAATGTAAGGAAGGCAATGACTGATACATGTATGGATGAGAACTGGGAATGATTAAGAGTTAGTAGGTAATTAGGAACCAGCAAGACAGCGCCATTAGAGAAACAATGAGAATGAAACACTAGGAAATCAAAAATACAAGAGAAGTTCTTCACAAACTGTGTACTTATTTACATGCACATACAAAGTGTTTATACACTGTAAGTTTGCCAAAATAAGATGAAAAGTAGTTTTTTTTTAAATACAATGACAAGTGGTGTAAATATTAATATTCAATAATTGTTCATTCACACAAATTCCCAAGGATTGAACATCACGTTGGTGTTAACAACTGTGCTAAACCGGGGACTAATAATATCTTCCTGCTAGGACCACCATTTTATTCAGGGTTAACCCAGCATTATTCTCTGAGTCCGTGTTAAAGTTTTTTGTCAATATATAAAAACTGTTTATTTAAAGTGATGAATATATGTGTCACCTTGAAACAAGACTCTTGCCTTGGAATACAAAGGTGAAGGACACTTTTCCTGTCAGTAGCGCATCGGTCATACAAGCCAATTTTATTTCTCAATCCTCCCTGTGTGGATAAGAACCCAAGACATTCAACTTAGCAGGCCAGCATCTCGCTGCTAGGGCACCACCCCCTCAGAAAACAGGCAAGTACCAAAACTACAATCTGAACCACCGAGAGAAATCAATCCCAATGTTTGGCCACACTTACTACTTTTCTCCTGGCTTGAGAAAGTTGTCATGCTTGGCATTTTTTCCTAATGCTGTTGGTTGTTTACGTTTCAACAACAGTCGTCTCTGTTTATCAATATCTTCTTTGTCTGCTGTGATCCTTTCTTGTTGCCTGAAATTGAAAACAAATATATTCACCATCTCGAACTACATTTAATTAACACATCACCCTATAACATCTCTAGCCACCTCTTCACCGCTTTACTCCATCTAACCACCCTATCATCTTTTTAACGCCTTACTTCATTTATCTAATCACCATATCACCTGTATACTGCTTTACTCCATTGTGTCCAATCACCTCTATACCGCTTTACTCCATTGTATCTAATCACCCTATTACCTCTATACCGCCTTACTCTATTGTGTAATACCTATATACCACCTAACTCCCTTGTATCTAATCACCATATCACCTCTATACCATCGCACTCCATTGAATCTAATCACCCTATAATATTGATACCGCCTTCACCTCTATACCACCTTACACTATTGTGTAATCCCTTTCACCTCTACACCATCTTACTCCATTGTATCCAATCACCCCATCAGGTCTCAATTGCCTTATTCCACATCTAACCAACTCATCCCATCTATTTTGTTTTATTCCTCTGTATCAACCTAACTTGTCGCCCCTGAACTGCTTGCTTAACTGTAACAGCATCAAACCAAGTGGTCACCTCAATAAGGCCGTACTCCGCCGCACTTAACCAACTGATTGACACCTTTCCAGATGATAGCGTTACACTGTGCTATGAGAAGGCATGGGGTTAAAACCCAGATGATAGCGTTACACTGTGCTATGAGAAGGCATGGGGGTAAAATCCAGATGATAGCGTTACATTGTGCTATGAGAAGGCATGGGGTAAAATCCAGATGATAGCGTTACATTGTGCTATGAGAAGGCATGGGGTAAAATCCAGATGATAGCGTTACACTGTGCTATGAGAAGGCATGGGGTAAAATCCAGATGATAGCGTTACACTGTGCTATGAGAAGGCATGGGGTAAAATCCAGATGATAGCGTTACACTGTGCTATGAGAAGGCATGGGGGTAAAATCCAGATGATAGCGTTACATTGTGCTATGAGAAGGCATGGGGTAAAATCCAGATGATAGCGTTACATTGTGCTATGAGAAGGCATGGGGTAAAACCCAGATGATAGCGTTACACTGTGCTATGAGAAGGCATGGGGTAAAATCCAGATGATAGCGTTACACTGTGCTATGAGAAGGCATGGGGTAAAATCCAGATGATAGCGTTACACTGTGCTATGAGAAGGCATGGGGTAAAACCCAGATGATAGCGTTACACTGTGCTATAAGAAGGCATGGGGTAAAATCCAGATGATAGCGTTACACTGTGCTATGAGAAGGCATGGGGTAAAATCCAGATGATAGCGTTACACTGTGCTATGAGAAGGCATGGGGTAAAACCCAGATGATAGCGTTACACTGTGCTATGAGAAGGCATGGGGTTAAAACCCAGATGATAGCGTTACACTGTGCTATGAGAAGGCATGGGGTAAAACCCAGATGATAGCGTTACACTGTGCTATGAGGAGGCATGGGGTTAAAACCCAGATGATAGCGTTACACTGTGCTATGAGAAGGCATGGGGTTAAAACCCAGATGATAGCGTTACACTGTGCTATGAGAAGGCATGGGGTTAAAACCCAGATGATAGCGTTACACTGTGCTATGAGAAGGCATGGGGTAAAAACCCAGATGATAGCGTTACACTGTGCTATGAGGAGGCATGGGGGTAAAACCCAGATGATAGCGTTACACTGTGCTATGAGGAGGCATGGGGGTAAAACCCAGATGATAGCGTTACACTGTGCTATGAGAAGGCATGGGGTAAAAACCCAGATGATAGCGTTACACTGTGCTATGAGGAGGCATGGGGTTAAACCCAGATGATAGCGTTACACTGTGCTATGAGAAGGCATGGGGGTAAAATCCAGATGATAGCGTTACACTGTGCTAGGAGAAGGCATGGGGTAAAATCCAGATGATAGCGTTACACTGTGCTATGAGAAGGCATGGGGGTAAAACCCAGATGATAGCGTTACACTGTGCTATGAGAAGGCATGGGGTAAAATCCAGATGATAGCGTTACACTGTGCTATGAGAAGGCATGGGGTAAAACCCAGATGATAGCGTTACACTGTGCTATGAGAAGGCATGGGGGTAAACAACAAGTCTTCTGGAATGATAGCACTGGATTTCAGGACCACCACTGTTGTCAACATTTGTGTTTAGTTAACTTAACCAATGTTGTCAACATTTGTGTTGAGTCAACTTAACCAACTTTGTCAACATTTGTGTTTAGTCAACTTAACCAACTTTGTCAACATTTGTGTTGAGTCAACTTAACCAACTTTGTCAACATTTGTGTTGAGTCAACTTAACCAACTTTGTCAACATTTGTGTTGAGTCAACTTAACCAACTTTGTCAACATTTGTGTTGAGTCAACTTAACCAACTTTGCACCTTTTTTTTCACTTAGCAAAACACACTTTTAACAAAATACACTGAATTAACTCATAACATTTCTAGGAAGTTCGACAAAGAAAGGATATACAGGTGCGGTCTGACAAAGGAAGGATATACTGGTTTAGTCTGACAAAGGAAGGATATACTGGTTTAGTCTGACAAAGGAAGGATATACTGGTTTAGTCTGACAAAGGAAGGATGTACAGGTGTAGTCTGACAAAGGAAGGATATACTGGTTTAGTCTGACAAAGGAAGGATGTACAGGTGTAGTCTGACAAAGGAAGGATATACAGGTGTAGTCTGACAAAGGAAGGATATACTGGTTTAGTCTGACAAAGGAAGGATGTACAGGTGTAGTCTGACAAAGGAAGGATATACAGGTGTAGTCTGACAAAGGAAGGATATACTGGTTTAGTCTGACAAAGGAAGGATATACTGGTTTAGTCTGACAAAGGAAGGATATACTGGTTTAGTCTGACAAAGGAAGGATGTACAGGTGTAGTCTGACAAAGGAAGGATATACTGGTTTAGTCTGACAAAGGAAGGATGTACAGGTGTAGTCTGACAAAGGAAGGATATACAGGTGTAGTCTGACAAAGGAAGGATATACTGGTTTAGTCTGACAAAGGAAGGATGTACAGGTGTAGTCTGACAAAGGAAGGATATACAGGTGTAGTCTGACAAAGGAAGGATATACTGGTTTAGTCTGACAAAGGAAGGATGTACAGGTGTAGTCTGACAAAGGAAGGATATACAGGTGTAGTCTGACAAAGGAAGGATATACTGGTTTAGTCTTACAAAGGAAGGATATACTGGTGTAGTCTGACAAAGGAAGGATGTACAGGTGTAGTCTGACAAAGGAAGGATATACTGGTTTAGTCTGACAAAGGAAGGATATACAGGTGTAGTCTGACAAAGGAAGGATATACAGGTGTAGTCTGACAAAGGAAGGATATACAGGTGTAGTCTGACAAAGGAAGGATATACAGGTGTAGTCTGACAAAGGAAGGATATACTGGTGTAGTCTGACAAAGGAAAGATATACAGGTGTAGTCTGACAAAGGAAAGATATTCAGGTGTAATTCAATGCACTTCTTTCTGGTGACAAACTACATAATAGAGTGCTTTTATTTTTTTGTCTTCATCCGTTTGACATCATTTCATGTTTTTTTTTCAACATCTGACAACTTATATTACCCTTTCTTGAAAACTTTGAACAAGATATCCTCCAAACATGGAGACAACCTCTAAACAGCACAATGGTGACTAATGATAACACTTCACGCATCAGTACCCAGATAAAGCACCTCATATTTGTTGGTTTCTCCTATATTGTTCTAAACTTTGTTTTATTTCATACAGTTGCTATACTAACTTTTACTATCATATTGTTATTTAAATTCCCCTGATCTCACTGTGAAGTTATTTTAAATATTTAAAAAAAAAAATTATTAGTTGAAGTAACAAATACCTAGGACAGAACAAGTTTAAAGTATATCCACCTGGGATAGAAAGTGAGAAATTATACATCACATCAACAATTGGTTACAATCACCACTGCTACACGTTGTAGGACATAACAGCGACTTCCAGACTTACTTCATCAGATCCTGAAATGCCCAGCCATCGACCCAGTTCTCCACAAACGTGGCTCCCTGCCTCTGTGTGACAAACTGCCCTAGCCGAAGTCTGTTCTCCATACACTTCTGCCGTGTGGTTTTCTTCTCTAAGGTGCTCTGAAAAATCATGCACAATTCATGTATGATGACAAGCTTATAATCATTAAAACAATCATCAACATTCAGGAGACTGCTGCTCCCATCACAGCCAGTGTCAATAGCCTCTCACTGCTAGCACCCTTCCGTCTTTCCAGATGACAGTGTTTTACTATATTATTACAGCCATGTAAGACCACGACTAAAGCTCCTCCTCTTTATAGCAAAAAAGCCTGGACAGTGTTGTGGAGATCATACATTGCCTATACATCATGATCCCTCTCTCGGCCTGCATTGTTTACTCCAAGGGTAAGACTAATGTATGAACCATTATGATCCCTCCCTCGGCCTGCCTTGTTTACTCCAAGGGTAAGACTAATGTATGAACCATTATGATCCCTCTCTCGGCCTGCATTGTTTACTCCAAGGGTAAGACTAATGTATGAACCATCATGATTCCTCTCTCGGCCTGCCTTGTTTACTCCAAGGGTAAGACTAATGTATGAACCATCATGATCCCTCCCTCGGCTTTGTTTACTCCAAAGGTAAGACTAATGTATGAACCCTTGTGTCCCCTAACCAACTGCACTACTTGATATTTTCATGCCCAATGTGTTCCCAGTGTCTTGTTTCTACCACTGTGCCATAAAATGTTGGGAGCTAGAAAGAATAAAGAAAGGATTTACAAAGGGCTTGCTACTTGATGATCAGGAATAGTTAGTGTGTTCTCAGGGCAAGACATTAAATAAATGTAAACAAAAACAAGAAAAGAACATGAACAATGTACATGAAAATCAATCCGAGTAAAGAATGTTATATCCTACATGAGGCACCCCAAATCATACAGACAAACAACATTTTAAACCACCAAGCTCTAAAAACTGACATAATTTATACTCTGATGTTCCCTCACAGAATTCATTTACTATTTCTAGGCCTACTTTTACACATGTGGCTTTTCAGTAAGGGGCCCATACTAAAATACCAATCAAATATTTTTTTTAGTTTTATTCTGGACACAGCGTTACGTTCCGATGTTTGTAATTGTTGTTATTCGACATACACTTAGATAATATAAGTTTCTGTAAATTATGGTGACATTCTATAGCGAGGCACACATGCCATACGCAGGTGACAGGTTCGATTAGCCGTACAGTAACTACAGCTTTCAATCTGTATGTTGTCTAGTGTGTCCTATCTTTCTATGAGTGCCCATCAATAAATTATCTGTTTGTTTATTATATATTTATATATTACATGCTCCTTCTCCCGTTTGTTCTGTCTGTGGAGGTTAAGTGCACCGGATCCTGTTACAAATGTCTTTAGTTCATAGAGACACATATTCCAACTTAGGGATGCAAATGTGGAAGGTTTACTTTCATCAAGAGAGATTCCAACCAATTTTCTATAACAAATCTACCCAGGATCAGCCTTATGGCCTGCACTTTGCAATCAACAAATATCTTGAAATGTCAAACTGCTGCAATCTGCACAAGGGATTTCTTATTTATACACCTAAATCTGAGAAGGTTAAATTTTATGATTCAACTATCCAAGAGATCAGGAGATGTGTGATATCTGGGCACGAATGGTCAGTTTTTTAAATCCCAAGCAATATGCCAGGACAAAACCAGGAAACTGACATTTTGGCAGGCACCGAAAACTCTCAGCTACATGTCCCTTGTACCTTATCTAAATCCTGTAAATAGGGACAATGTTTTTGCGCATTTAATGTTTTACACTCTTGACTAAATTTACAACTATTCTGAATGTAAAATTCATTGAAGATTCTTCAGCCTTCACACAAAGCAATTTCCCAAGACAAGGAACTTGCCTTTTCAATAAGCAATGACTTATTGACATCCAGGCATTTTTGCAGGTTTTCCTTGTGTTTCTCCAGCAGCTTATTCTGGGCCGTACACTGACGTTTCAACTCATCATTTTGCTGAAATAGACAAAACACAAGCAACGGCTATCAGCAATAACCTGATCCGTAAACAACAGCTCAGTTAGAATCACTGTCAGGGTAATGTTGTTCTATGCATTCACAATCAAACATGCAAATGTAGCAGCACTGCTGGAGGTTTCCTCGTTCTGACCTTCAGGTTGGAAATGAGAGGAGAAAACTTCTGGAAACATGGAGAAAACTTCTGGAACCGTGGAGAAAACTTCTGGAAACATGGAGAAAAATTATGGAAACATGGAGAAAACTTCTGGAAACATGGAGAAAACTTTTGGAAATATGGAAAAAAAACTTCTGGAAACAGAGAAAACTTCTGGAAACATTCCTACTTTAGCCTGAAGATGAGAAAGGTAAATTTTTTGTTGTAGTCATTCAATACCAAGGAATTCACTAGGCAATTATGACTCCTTCTCACATGATGTACTTCCCTTAACTCCTGCTTTTATTAAGTTGCTACAAAACCCCACGCAGTTAAACATTGTAATGAATACAGTTTTTTGAACTCCTTTAGATGCATCTGTGATTAGTTTGGTAAAGAAAGAGCTAAAATGCTATATAAGCGTAACAATAAAAAAAGTAAAGCTTTTAAAATGCTGCTATATAAGCTTGATAATGAAAAGGGTAAACTTTTTTTTTAAAAAGGCTGAAAATACAAAAAGGCAATCATCTGAAAGACTGCTGCAGCAGTCCGAAGATGAAAGAAGGTATCTCTTAAACAATGCTTATCTGTAAACAATATCTCTTAAACAATGCTTATCTATAAACAAACACATGGCGGCATCCATAAAATTACACGATTCTGTATTTCCATTAAAAGTGTCATCTGTGTCAGAGTTGACTGAAAGTACACGAGACAGAAGGTTGTGTATAGACAACTACCAACACAACACGGCTTCAGACTTTAAGACGAGCATTAAAAGTTGTTTCTTTTATCTATTAAAAAATACATGATTCTCTAGAAGGAACAAATTTTATTTATAAAAATATGACCAATTCATCAGCTGTCCAATGTTTTTTCCCCCTTCCATACCCTGCCCATATTGTTCATCTTAGTCTCTAATTGCTTCTTATGTCATTTTAGTTCTCCACTCGCATCTCTTATGTCCCTTGGATTCCTTCTTCTTCATTTTTACCAACTGTTCACTCCAGCTGAATCTTCCACTTGTTAGTTACTTCTAAACTTTTATTTCTTGCTCCATAATGAGTTTTGTGGATTAACACATCTGGCTTATGCAGACTGTTGGTTTCTTGCCCTTCGGGCAGATGTATTCCAACTTCAAAGTAATCACCCCATATAAGTGGCCTTATATGACATGTTTGTTAGAAGACAAGTGGGTCTATTCCACCCTCCCCCCCCCCCCCCCCCCCAATGGCTGGCCCCAGGACCCACACAAGAAGTCTAGTGGGTTTCAGTTAAAGGACATTATAGTTACACTATTATCACGTTTTCTTAGTGTGTTTCTGTCCGACCAAATTCCTTTTCCTCCTAACCCAGAGGGGGGAGCCTGCTCATTTTACCCCAGCAAATTGAAATCACACATTCCCTTATTATAAAAACAATGTTACTCATAAACTGAAATTGTAAGAAGTTTTAACAAAATCAGTTAATGTTAGACAAAACTATTATAACGTTACTGTTAAATTTACGAAAGCTGAATTGTCAAAAAAACATGTGTCATTCAGAATAAACAAATTATAAATCACCAAGCCCAGAAGCATGCAGTTTAATAAAATCTAGAAATAAAAATACCATTACCAAAAATATGAATTCTATGTGCTGCTGAAAAGCAATTTGAACATAGAAGTGAATGAAGTGACTACTCAGAACAGAACCAAACTATATCTTTAAAGAACTGTGCCACTGTGGTAGTGGGGCAGCACACCCAACCAGGATCACAAATGTCAAGGGTTCCACTCCCCATGAGATGTCTAGCGGTTTGGAGTTCAACAGATCAAGACAGTGCCAGTGTATTTATACTACAATAAAACATGTCCTAGACCAGTGGTCTTCAACCTGTGGAACTTGCCACCCCTCTCCCTCCCAAGTGGGGAGGGAGTGAGGAAGTTTGAAGGGGGAGGGGTGACAAGCAATTCTGAAACATTGCATTTGTACTCATAATAATCCAGATTTTCAGCTGCAACGGTGGTCATAAAAACACAATAGTGGTGACAGCTGCAACGGTGGTCATAAAAACACAACAGTGGTGACGGCTGCAACCGTGGTACACACAACAGTAGTGACGGCTTGAAGTGGAGAGGGTATCCTTTGTGCCTTGTCCAATATCAGATCAAATACAGCAGATACTGTCAAGACAAAATAGTATCAACCACTCAGATATTTGCACGCCAAATTTCCAGTTGACTGTTTCTTTTATTTGATATTTTTATTTTTGTGGATGTTTTTCTCTTTATTGTTAACAAGCTTGGTAATTTTTCTGTCTGTTCCTTTGTAAATCAAATTTTGTTATGGAAAGGGGGGGGGGGGGGGGTGTTTGTCTTGTCATATACTAAAGGGGGACGCCACCTGAAAAAGGTTAGAGATCACTGTTGTAGAATGTTCAGCAGTCCAGCACAGAAAACAACAGTTCTTCAAAGAACATATACAATGGGAAATGACACACTAGTAGATTATTATGATGGAAACATAGGTTTAGTTTGGGAGAACAGAAAGCTCACGATTAAAACAAACACTCTTATTTATCTGGCTTGTGATCTCAGCACTCTGGTTTATGGCAGTGAAACTTGGTCAACTTATTCGCACCAGGTGAAATGGATCAATAACTTTCACACACGATGCCTAAGAACAATACTTGGCATTAGGCGGCATGACAAGATCACAAACACTGAGGTACTGGAAAGAGCAGGTATTACAACAGTTTTCTCAATGCTGTCTACAAAGGCTCAGGAGGCTGGATCAAACCTGAAGAATGGAGGATGGTTGAGTCCCTAAGAACATCCTCTAGGGTGAACTACAGATGGGTAGATGATGTCGAGCTTAGCTTCTACTGTGATATAAGGATGTATACAAGTGGGACACAAATGATACAGATACTGAAGTATATTCATGGGAGCAAATTGCCATGGACTGTGTAGGCTGGAGGGGGCAAATCAGGATGGAAATGAGAATGGCGGAAACAAATGAATCACAGAATGGACGAGAGCTGAGTGTCTGAGAAGAAACACACTAAATATATATAATGCCAACAATGGTCCTAAAATCCCAAGCTCTAACTGTGAAAGACTTTTCTTATGTGGGCGTGTATTGCTAGTCGCCCTTGCCATCACCATGGGCTGTGAGTCTCATGCTTTCCTACAGCACAATTTATCATAATCATCTAGAAAGATGCCAACTAACTAAAGATCTTACTTGCAAAAATCATTCACTGGATGCGAATCTGGACACTTTTCTAGTTAGGGCAGAACATTTAACCTGGAAGCCACCCTACACAATCATCATCATCTAGTGCTTTATTAGCTAGCTGGCATGGGTGAATATGTCAAATGACATCTTGCAACCTCAATGGCTTTATTAATTTGTGATCTGTCATCTGTCCATGCCTGGCAAAAGCTATTCCCACAAGCTTTTCAAATAGGCCGAGCTCAGACAGTGGCAAGACATGTGTACAAACACAACAGAAGGCTACAGAAGGTCAAAAGCTTCAGCAATGACAGACCCTGCAAACACAGACTTACTCTGTGTAGTTCATCAATTCTGGTATCTTTCTGTTCCAGATGAGACATGGACTGGCTTTCCAAGGCCTGAATGTGAGCCATGGAAAAATCAGTCTGAAATAAATCATGAAAACATCAGCCTGAAATAAGTCATGAAAAAATCAGTCTGAAAATAGACCACAGAGAAAATAATTAGGGATTAGAAATAATAAGATGACCAGTTAGCATCCATACACTTCAATGATTGTTAAACAAGACATGGGACCAAAAGATGTGTTTGAAGTGCACTGATGTCGCTTCAGTCAATAACATATTAAGCAAACTCGGCCAATCCTTGCAACGCTTGACCTCCCCGACCCCGGTGATCCCACAACCACGGTGGACCCCCCCCCCCCCCCCCCCCCCCCCACCCTACCCCCCTACTTGATGTAACTACGTCCCCCCCCTCACCCCCTCCCTCTCACGACTGCAATCAACAGCTGTTTCTGGCGATCGTAAAGGAGACAGTCCATTTTTTGGGTACTTTCACGTAATGATAATATTCTTCATATTTAACTTGTTTGAGATTAGGGTTAGGATAGGGTTTAGTTTGAGGGTTAGCCCTAACTCCAACCCTAACAATACTAAATATGAAAGAAAATTAGTATTTTGTCAACTTACAGACTGGATTACATCCCCTGGGGTTGGTACTAACAGTAATGTTAACTTGCAATAGACTGTGTCCCCCTAGGGTGGCCGCTGCAAGGATTGACCAAGCTCTTACAAACTAAGAAAAAATAGATTTAGATATCCCCCCCCCCCCCCCCCCCCCCCCATCCACCCCCCCCCCCCCCCCCCCCCCCAAAAATATATACATATTTTGAGATCTATGTAACTAACTAAACATATTTCTACATCCATTCAACATATAAAATTAAGTCAAGACTCGAACCCACCTGAATAGACTTTGAGCAGACATTTGTGCCAATACTGAGAGACAGTGCGGGCCGGCTGGCAGAACTCATCAGGTCGGCCATAGAGTTGGAAGAGTTGTTTGGAGAGTGTGGTACAAAGTTCTAAAATAAAACAAAAACCATGTAATAGATACATCAATACATTCTGGTTTTTATTAACTGTTTAAATTTTTGATAACTATGGTGTTCTCAGCCACAAACAAAAACAGAAAATTTTATTTAAAGATAATAATAATAAGCAACAATGACCATCTGGTCATCAAATGAAATGTCCACACAAGGGTAATGTTTCCGCTACATTCTCTTTCTTTCTCCCTCACTAGCATGCCCACACACACACACACACGCACAAACTATCACTGGTCAGCAGTGGACACACACATATGCACACACACACAAATACATGCACACACAAATACATGCACACACAAACATACAAACACACAAATACATGCACACACATAAAGTTGGAGGGGAGAGAGAAACAGAAAGATTTAAAGAGGGAAGGGTGTGAGATGATAAGTAAGGAGGGCAAAGAGGGAAAGGTGAGAAAGAAGAGGAAGGGTGATGAGGGTGATGGGGGGGAGAGAGAGACGGTGAAGGAAAGAGGTGAGTAAGATAGGAAGAAATAGAGAAAGTACTGTCAAATCAGCCAAATCACACCTATCTAACCCTCCCACTAAATATATCATGTTACATATTCTACATCTCTTCCAAAAGTCCACAAATATATTATGTTACATATTCTACATCTCTTTCCAAAAATCCACAAATACATCATATTACTTATTTCTACATCTCTCTCCATCAGTCCACAAACAGTATTTCACATCAGTATGTTATCCTCGTGCGGGTCTTAGGTCCTATTTTGAGAACAGAACAGTAAGACACCCCCTCCCCCAACAAAAATGTTGTAAAACTGACTCATTTTGGTTTTGCTGAAATAGGATGTGTCGGGTCAAAAGATGCAGATACTGCTGCCTAGGATGCTGGATAAATCAGCTGTAGACCCTAGCTGTACACCCCAACACAATACGCCAACAAGGTTTCTAAGGGTGAATGAACAAGAAGACATCTGTTAACATTAGGACAGCCACACCAATAGCAGAAAAAAGTAAACCAGCACCCTGCATGAGTCAAACTAACACTCATCACATTCACACACAAGAAAACTTACCCCAAATGCCTGAGGTGACGGAGACTTGGCCACTGCTCCTGGGGGCTGTCCTGTACGGCTTGGAGACTGGTTCTGTTAAAACAAAGGTTCATATTTCAAGTTATTTCAATCAAAGTGGGTGAAGATGAACTCACTTCAGCAAATCTCCCAAACTGATATCCTGCTCTCAACATTCCAGCAATCACTAAATAAGTAGATACTTCTGAATTATTACACTGACCATACCATGACTAACTGATCAATCCCACATGAAGACACTGCTACACCATTAATAACTAAACTGGCCACTCCCCTGGACTACATTGGAACTCCTAACATTACTATATTGTCCACACCCTATAGGGCTATTGGCAGATCCCTAAATAACTACATTAACTACTAATCCATACTATCTGAGTCACCTACAACTAAACAAATAAATTTAACAGTCCACGGCATCATTCAAGTAACTACCCAGATACTATCTAAGCTACCTACAACTAAACAAATCTAACAGTCCATAGCATCATTCAAGTAACTACCCAGATACTATTTAAGCTAGCTACAACTAAACAAATCTAACAGTCCACGGCATCATTCAAGTAACTACCCAGATACTATTTAAGCTAGCTACAACTAAACAAATCTAACAGTCCATGGCATCATTCAAGTAACTACCCAGATACTATTTAAGCTAGCTACAACTAAACAAATCTAACAGTCTACGGCATCATTCAAGTAACTACCCAGATACTATCTAAGCTACCTACAACTAAACAAATCGAACAGTCCACGGCATCATTCAAGTAACTACCCAGATACTATATGAGTCACCTACAACTAAACAAAACTAAAAGTCCACGGCCTCATTCTAGTAACTACCCAGATACTATTTAAGCTACCTACAACTAAACAAATCTAACAGTCCACGGCATCATTCAAGTAACTACCCAGATACTATTTAAGCTAGCTACAACTAAACAAATCTAACAGTCCACGGCATCATTCAAGTAACTACCCAGATACTATTTAAGCTAGCTACAACTAAACAAATCTAACAGTCCACGGCATCATTCAAGTAACTACCCAGATACTATTTAAGCTAGCTACAACTAAACAAATCTAACAGTCCACGGCATCATTCAAGTAACTACCCAGATACTATTTAAGCTAGCTACAACTAAACAAATCTAACAGTCCACGGCATCATTCAAGTAACTACCCAGATACTATCTAAGCTAGCTACAACTAAACAAATCTAACAGTACACTGCATCATTTATAACTACCCAGATACTATTTAAGCTACCTACAACTAAACAAATCTAACAGTCCACAGCATCATTCAAGTAACTACCTAGATACTATTTAAGCTAGCTACAACTAAACAAATCTAAAAGTCCACGGCATCATTCAAGTAACTACCCAGATACTATCTGAGTCACCTACAATTAAACAAAACTAAAAGTCCACGGCCTCATTCTAGTAACTACCCAGATACTATCTAAGCTACCTACAACTAAACAAATCTAACAGTCCATGGCATCATTCAATTAACTACCCAGATACTATTTAAGCTAGCTACAACTAAACAAATCTAACAGTACAATTCCACACCTTCATGTGTACAGGGTTTATAGTGCTAGTCCCATCTGATGTTTAATAGCTTCCACAAGCTATCTCAAGGGTTCCCAATCTTTTTTTGTGTGTGTGTGTGGCCACGCCCTATTTTATAGAGGCAAAGTGACCTGTGACCCTATATATAAAAAATAGATTTTGTGTGCAGGATACGATTACGTGACTTTTATTTTACCTTTTTAAAATTATCACTGCTCACACCAGTGCACAGCAAACCCACAGAAAACACTTTCTGACCCCAAATGGGGTCGCAACCAATAGGCTGGGAACCTGTGAGCTATGTGATCAAAACTATGCGTCGCCTTTACTTCCAGTAAATTTTATGATTGCCAATAATGGAGTGGATTGACCTAGGAGTCATGTCAGAGCCAATTATTACAATCTGCCTCAATAGGGATTTAACCGTATGACCACCAGGACAACAGACACGCATGCTCCCCATTGTATTACTGCAACTCCCACATTTTGTCATTACCATACAAAAACCGTTAACTGTCTATACAGGTCACTTACCCTGAAATATTCATTTATCTTCTTCCCGTTTGCCTCAACTCTTTTTGTGGCTGAAAGCATATACAGATTCAGGTTACCAAGAGAAAAAATTCAGTCGAACCAATATTAACTTGAACAAGCGATACAGAAAATGTCTTTTAACCCTGTCACCCCATGAGGGCTAAATCTTGTCACTTCCTGTTGTGACACAGCCACATAAATGCTGATGTATCGCCATTGCTGCAGTAACCTGTGGTCAAAACGTATAGTTTAAGCCACTGGTTCTTTGTGTGCTTGCATAGTGTTTAGGAGGCCCAGATGTTAATATGATAACTTAATATAGCATTTTGAAGAGTTTCCTTGGGAATCCTATAGCCTTTTCTAAGCCAGTTTACCTTGACATTTTTCCGTAAGAATAACTGAGAGGTCATGGGGATACATGAGTCAATAAATATTTGTTTGATGCCCCAGAGTATGCATTACACTGAATGCTTCACTCTGTTCTTGTTCACTGATTACTCTTTTTATATACATTTATATATTTCAGTTTTGCTTTTTTTTAACAAATGAGGTACATTTTCTTTTAAAATTTAATAGTGACTTGTGTTAAATTTTTCCGGGAATTCCTCCCAACCCACATTTTTTTTTAGCATTCGTTATGATTTTCTGCTCATCTGTTGTAGGAGGGGTACATGTTCTCCTTCTGCGTTGTGGTCAGCATACTGTGTTGTTGTTATCATGTTGTGGCATTTGAGATGTAACTGGGGTATATGAAACAGCACAGCTGATATAAACCCGATAAGCTGAGGATGAAAAATTTCCCCCTCCTCGTTTTCCAGGACTGCAGCCTGTAGGATTAACATCTCAAGAAAGAGAATCAAACAGGTACAAATTCCAGAAACCCCAATTCAACTGTCATATAGTATATATATATATATATAGTATATATACTAGGGTCCCATTGAGTAACCAATGGGAGGGTCTGTATAAGCCGAGACTGGTAATGTTTCCACCACAAGATTTACAGTCTCATTGTCAACAATCACAACCCAGTGCCCGGAGGAAAGACAGAGACAACAGTTGTTACAATAAGTGACCCACTCACCAGTGGGGTTGTCAGTTTTCCGCTTCCGCTTTCTCTCTGTCAGCTTACACTTGTCTGGTGTTGGCCCAAGTCCCTAGTGGTGATAAAACACACAAGCTGAGAGGTCAGAATTTTAAAAAACATGCGCAAAAGATGGCTTTATCTATTAACTCAGTTACACTTCTATATTATTTGCCATCCCATAAAAAGAATTCATATAAAAATCACATAATTCTATTGTTAAAAATCATAGCGAAAGTAAGGGACATTTTTAATGCCAGGACAGCAGCGGGCATATGATGTTAGAAACAGTTTGATACACTAATGGGTACTGGATGGGTAATGTCAACATCACGCCGGCCACCTTGACTTTCCACAGCATTACCTGGTACCCATATTAACCCTTTTAGCACGGGAAGTTTTTCAGATGTCTAGCCAAAAACATGGAGCATTTTTTCAGTAAATTTGGTTATTACTTTAATTTTTTTGACACATTTCTGTTATTCTGACCCCCATGAAATAACCTACTTTAGGTGACATGTGTTTTTGACCATCAGTCAGCACAAGAAATGGATGTGCCGGAGTGCCAACATCTTGAGGTAGATGTACCCAGCGCCATGGTTGGGCTGTGGTCTGAACACAACAGCGTCCCCATCTGATTCCCCACTATTACTACTAACACTTGATCCTGCATCAGTATCAACAGAATTAGTGAAATCACTTGATTCAAATGTTTTATCAACATCAAGTTTAGGGGCAGAAACATACGAGTCAGACATACTTTTAGCGGTTCATGGTCACTATCTAGAAATTTCAACAACAATTTTCACTTCGATATCAAACACTCGAAAGTCGCCATGTGTAAAGCTAATACAGCAGTGAATATGAATGAATCACTTTCAGTGTTTCAAAGTAGGAGATTTCTTAGCGGTTCGTGGCAAAACACGATCGGGCTGATGATCGTCCGTTCCGTGTTTTTGGCCAGGCATCCGCCGGCCGATAATCGGCCCGTCCGTGCTAAGAGGGTTAAGCCAGGTCAACCTGGGAGTCAAGATAATTTTTCAAATATCAAATCTGCAAAGTGCAGATTCAAATCCAAGACCTTCAGACCGGAACTCAAACATCCAGCCGCCAGGCTACCATGGTTTGCTTTAAAAAAATCACATTGGTGGTCAATTCAAGCCAAATGCTGTGATCATCAAATAAAATGATTCATGATTTCAGAATCGACATCATAGCACACCGGCCATATTTCTGGTACTGCTTGCGACTGTGCAGTGTCAACACACCGGCCATATTTTTGGTACTGCTTGCGACTGTGCAGTGTCAACGCACCGGCCATATTTCTGGTACTGCTTGCGACTGTGCAGTGTCAACACACCGGCCATATTTTTGGTACTACTTGCGACTGTGCAGTGTCAAGATTTACCAGAGATCATTTTCTTTAACAAAATAAGTATCTGAGGGTACGAAGCACATGGATTGTAATGATCCATTTTTTCACTGGTAGTAGTAGTTATTTACTTCTCAGGATACAACTGCAAAAATGTGACCATATATGTATGAAAAGTACTTACGTCACCATCATCTCTGTCTGCAGAGCCACCGCTACTTAAATTGCTGCTGTCGTGTTGTTGTTCTTGTGGTGGTGCAGGTACCATCAAAGGCTGGAACTGATGGGCAAGCATATACAACGTTTTAGATCTACATTAACTTCAAGAAAACACAACATATTAGATCTAGACGAACTTCAAGATAACAGACAACATTTTAGACCTAAATTAACCTCAAGATAATAGACAACACATTAGAACAAGATGAATTTCAAGATAACAGACAACGTTTTAGATCTAGATTAAGCTCAAGATAACATTTATCATTTTAGATCTAGATTTATCTCAAGATAACAGATAACACATTATATTAATATCAAGATAACAGAAACATATTATATCTAGATTAACCTCAAGATAACAGGTAATGAAATAGATCTAGATTATCTTTAAGAAAACACACAAAATATTAATCTAGATTAATTTCAAGATAACTCATAAAGTATGAGATTAATTTCAAGATAACATATCAGACATAGATTAACCTTGAGATAACACACAACACATTATATCTAGATTAACTTAAAGAAAAACAGGCAATATATTAGACCCAGATTAACCTTAAGACAACATACATCACATCAGATCTAGACAAACTTCAATTTAAGACATCTCAAACTGGCACGCCAACAACTGAGAGGTCAGTCAATGAACTAAGTATGCCTGAGTACAGAAACAAGCAGTCATAATTCATTACAGACATCTATGACTCTGTCCTCTCACAAATTTTCTTGTAATCTTGAACTCCAAAATATAGCCTTGGTTCTCAACCAACCCATTCTGAGCCCTTCTATCTTTTGCCATTTCCTGCAGCTCCCTCAACTACCTCCGTGTATTAGTCACCTGTCTCTAATATTCCTTTCCATGTCTGTGATCTCAATTTCCTGTACTCCCCCTGTGCATCCTGAGGCCATATGGGGGAGGGGGGTTCCACCCATTGCCTTAACAGGCATGACATAAAACACTTATAAGGGGGTGTTTCCTTCTGTGTCTGAATGCATCTGCCATATGGATAAAGAACCAATACGACTGCCCACAAATAAGCCAGAATTGTAACAGTTCTGAAACAAGACCAAAGTCCAGAAGTGGACAAACAACCAAAACTTCCTGCCGGAGTTTACAAGAATGACAATGTCACTTTCTTGCTAGGGCAACTTAGCCACTACGCAGTATATTTACAGGCATGAGGAAGTTTGAATGTAAGTTAACAGTTGATCCATCGGTCAAATTCTACAGGAAACGGTGAAACAATCTTTTCACTTCCTTCTTTGAAGCAAATGCTCAAATACATAAATGATGTTAACTTGAATGCGTCAAGATAAAAATGTGGGTAACTTCCTTTTTCTTCTCTCTTTTTAAGGGCAATACAATCATAAATAGATTGAGAAAACAAGGTCACCCAAGAGAAACCCTATGTTGATGAGAGAAGCCAAAGGTGGGGCTCGACTGGATCTTGTCCATGACATAAAATCATCTTTGCATTCATTCATCGGCCACAAACCTCAGTGGAAAGTTTTGACTGTTCATCCACTTCTGGATTTTTGTCTTTTGCCAGAACAAGTGTTTTGTATACACATCCGTTTCACAGATCTTGCTTATTTGTTTTGTGACTTATTTGTTTGGCGACTGTTGGTTCCTCGCTTGTCTATCAGTTGACTTTTATGACAAGCTTGTGGGGAAAAGGGGGGGGGGGGGCGGCCTGGGCCTATTCTTTTTCTCCCTACAATTGGGCCCTCTGAACACAGATGTAGAGACACACACTGAAACGATTGAGGCCCTGGAAACCATATGCAGAGACACACACTGAAACGAGTGAGGCCCTGGAACCCACATGTAGAGACACACACTGAAACGAGTGAGGCCCTGGAACCCACATGTAGAGACACACACTGAAACGATTGAGGCCCTGGAACACATATGCAGAGACACACACTGAAACGATTGAGGCCCTGGAACACATATGCAGAGACACACACTGAAACGATTGAGGCCCTGGAACCCATATGCAGAGACACACACTGAAACGATTGAGGCCCTGGAAACCATATGCAGAGACACACACTGAAACGATTGAGGCCCTGGAACCCATATGTAGAGACACACACTGAAACGAGTGAGGCCCTGGAACCCACATGTAGAGACACACACTGAAACGATTGAGGCCCTGGAAACCATATGTAGAGACACACACTGAAACGATTGAGGCCCTGGAAACCATATGCAGAGACACACACTGAAACGAGTGAGGCCCTGGAAACCATATGCAGAGACACACACTGAAACGAGTGAGGCCCTGGAACCCACATGTAGAGACACACACTGAAACGATTGAGGCCCTGGAAACCATATGTAGAGACACACACTGAAACGATTGAGGCCCTGGAAACCATATGCAGAGACACACACTGAAACGATTGAGGCCCAGGAAACCATATGCAGAGACACACACTGAAACGATTGAGGCCCTGGAACCCATATGTAGAGACACACACTGAAACGATTGAGGCCCTGGAAACCATATGTAGAGACACACACTGAAACGATTGAGGCCCTGGAACCCATATGTAGAGACACACACTGAAACGATTGAGGCCCTGGAAACCATATGTAGAGACACACACTGAAACGATTGAGGCCCTGGAAACCATATGCAGAGACACACACTGAAACGAGTGAGGCCCTGGAACCCATATGTAGAGACACACACTGAAACGATTGAGGCCCTGGAAACCATATGTAGAGACACACACTGAAACGATTGAGGCCCTGGAAACCATATGCAGAGACACACACTGAAACGATTGAGGCCCTGGAAACCATATGCAGAGACACACACTGAAACGAGTGAGGCCCTGGAACCCACATGTAGAGACACACACTGAAACGAGTGAGGCCCTGGAACCCACATGTAGAGACACACTGAAACGAGTGAGGCCCTGGAACCCATTTGTAGAGACACACACTGAAACGATTGAGGCCCTGGAACACATATGTAGAGACACACACTGAAACGATTGAGGCCCTGGAACACATATGCAGAGACACACACTGAAACGATTGAGGCCCTGGAACACATATGCAGAGACACACACTGAAACGATTGAGGCCCTGGAAACCATATGTAGAGACACACACAGAAACAATTGCAGCCCTGGAACCCATATGTAGAGACACACTGAAACGATTGAGGCCCTGGAAACCATATGTAGAGACACACACTGAAACGATTGAGGCCCTGGAAACCATATGTAGAGACACACACTGAAACGATTGAGGCCCTGGAAACCATATGCAGAGACACACACTGAAACGATTGAGGCCCTGGAACCCATATGTAGAGACACACACTGAAACGATTGAGGCCCTGGAACACATATGCAGAGACACACACTGAAACGAGTGAGGCCCTGGAAACCATATGTAGAGACACACACTGAAACGATTGAGGCCCTGGAAACCATATGTAGAGACACACACTGAAACAATTGCAGCCCTGGAACCCATATGTAGAGACACACACTGAAACGATTGAGGCCCTGGAAACATACACAAATTATAGATCAAAATGACACAGAAGCTTTTAAATTCCTGTTTACAGGATGAATGAATGAATTAGTTAATTAACTGATCATTTAATCAATCAATCAACAATTGCTTGCTCCGTCTCTTTCCTCAGTAGCCAAAGAAGAGTTGATATGCTAAAAATACTTGTTGCAAGCTGATTACAATCTGCCTATCCACCCTCCCCCAGTGTTGAATATTTACCCTTTGTTCACCCCCCCCCCCCCTACCCCCCCCCCCCCCCCCCCCCCCCCCCCCCCCCCCCCCCCCCATTACTGTGTCAATGTATGGGTACTCTGTCTGTTTTGTTGCAGTGTTCACTTGATCCAGAGAGCCTTCACCATTTCCACTTTATCATAATGTAGCTCACCACCCAGAGGAGCTGGATCAGCCAATCTATCAGCCTGCTTTACAGGAATGTCAACATAAAAATCTTAAGCTAGGCAAAAATTAAAAAGTGAAAGGTTCACCTACCCGACCCCCGAGGAAGCGTGCTTCGAGTAGTTCTTGTTTGCGCGGATCCACATGGATGTTGTCCATAACACCAGGAAAACAACAAGTGATAGAACAAGCTGGGTAAGCTCCGGTCAGAACTGTGCCCAGTACCACTGCAAAAGTTCACCATTATTTCAAATTACACATCAGCTGGTCAATTGCTGTCTTCAGATATGACACAAGGCACTACAGACACAACACTAAGATGGCTGCAATGGATTTTCAAGACCCTCTGTCCCTCCCTCTGATTGTACTGTTGTTCATCCAACTTGTCAGGTTAATTTTCTATCCGTATTGTTATCAACCTCAAGCATGTCTGTCTTCAATATTTCCTTTTAGAAAGGATTTTAGTACTATGTCTTTCAATCATCATCACCAACTTCCTTACTGACTTACATGGGCGATCATGCCTCCACACAATCTGTGATCTTCAGCAACAGTATGTATCAGTTCGTATGTTGACACATTTCCAGGCAATGACAAAAGACTGGCAAGAATCATGTCACATTTTCTTCCCGTCTCTTTCTGTTTTGTTTTCACAGATCTTTCTGGTGGTCACAACATGGTCCAGTTTTCTTCTTCTCATAACATGACCACAAACATTAATACTGTCTCTTTCTGATGTTTGTGATATGTTTGTGATAAGCTGTCTTCGAACCCTTGTCTCTTTCAAAACAACTGGACTGCTTGTTTTTTTTTTAAATCTGTCCAAGGAATTCTAAGGATTCTTCTGTAAAACCACATCTCCAGGGCCACAAAGTGTCAAGTGTTTTATACTGCACAAAAATTTCAATTTCTCTTTTTCATTTTACTCTTCGATTCTTTATTTCTATTCTCTCTAGGACATCCGTATGTGGATAACCCCCATGTACACAGGACTGTATCTTAGAAGTTCTACACTGCTTGCTTTCTTGACCATATGATCTAGCTGAGTCTTAGCACATGCTGTCACATGGTTTAGTCTGGCATATTTAATCAAAAAGACTTCGGACTGGACACTGTGGTCTTTGAGCACATTTGTACAGGATAGGCATAAAAGAATCTGCTGATCGTGGAGCAGAAAGAGAGACCCCTGGGCACATACTACAGTACTGCCCTAACCTCTCCCAGCAAAGACTGGATCTGGCCCAAGGGAGCTACATTGCAAGAGAAGCTATGGGGGACCGGTGGCGACCTTAAACAAACAATTCTATTTGTGACCCAGATAGGACTCAATGTAGCATGACTGATGTCGAACGCAGAAAAAGAAGAGAAACATTCAAAATTTCATTATTCTCTACTAGAACCTGCCAGTCACTAAATTTCAGTCCCCTCTCCGCCTCAGACGGAATTTACAACCCAGAGAAGTCTCAGTTCCAGCCAAACTACCCTGCTCTGTGGCCCGGTGAAGCCACAGATGGTTTGTTATCTTAATCATTTCATTTTGTGGGATACAGTGTAGGGATATACAAATTATACTGATACCACATACATGTTGCTACATGCATATGACTTAGATCACAGACACAGCATACATTACAACAGTCATGGTTAGAGTATGTTCCCACATCCGTGCAGGCTAAATGTTAATACAGTCATGGTGAGAGTTTGTTCCCACATGGGTGCAGGCTAAATGTCAATACAGTCATGGTCAGAGTTTGTTCCCACATGGGTGCAGGCTAAATGTCAATACAGTCATGGGTGGATATGTTTCCACATGGGTGCAGGCTAAATGTTAATACAGTCATGGTGAGAGTTTGTTCCCACATGGGTGCAGGCTAAATGTCAATACAGTCATGGGTGGATATGTTTCCACATCCGTGCAGGCTAAATGTTAATACAGTCATGGTGAGAGTTTGTTCCCACATGGGTGCAGGCTAAATGTCAATACAGTCATGGGTGGATATGTTTCCACATGGGTGCAGGCTAAATGTCAATACAGTCATGGTTAGAGTTTGTTCCCACATGGGTGCAGGCTAAATGTCAATACAGTCATGGGTGGATATGTTTCCACATGGGTGCAGGCTAAATGTCAATACAGTCATGGGTGGATATGTTTCCACATGGGTGCAAGCTAAATGTCAATACAGTCATGGGTGGATATGTTTCCACATGGGTGCAGGCTAAATGTCAATACAGTCATGGGTGGATATGTTTCCACATGGGTGCAGGCTAAATGTCAATACAGTCATGGTGAGAGTTTGTTCCCACATGGGTGCAGGCTAAATGTCAAAACAGTCATGGTTAGAGTTTGTTCCTACATGGGTGCAGGCTAAATGTCAATACAGTCATGGGTGGATATGTTTCCACATGGGTGCAGGCTAAATGTCAATACAGTCATGGGTGGATATGTTTCCACATGGGTGCAGGCTAAATGTCAATACAGTCATGGGTGGATATGTTTCCACATGGGTGCAGGCTAAATGTCAATACAGTCATGGGTGGATATGTTTCCACATGGGTGCAGGCTAAATGTCAATACAGTCATGGTTAGAGTTTGTTCCCACATGGGTGCAGGCTAAATGTCAATACAGTCATGGGTGGATATGTTTCCACATGGGTGCAGGCTAAATGTCAATATAGTCATGGGTGGATATGTTTCCACATGGGTGCAGGCTAAATGTCAATACAGTCATGGTTAGAGTTTGTTCCCACATGGGTGCAGGCTAAATGTCAATACAGTCATGGGTGGATGTTTCCACATGGGTGCAGGCTAAATGTCAATACAGTCATGGTTAGAGTTTGTTCCCACATGGGTGCAGGCTAAATGTCAATGGGTGGATATGTTTCCACAATACACACAGTATAAAGATCAATACAGCCATGTGAAAAGACTCCCATATACATGAAATAAAGATCAGTATCATCACGTGCAGAGATTCTTCCCTGTGCAGAGGCATCAAACATCATCAATACAGGCTAGAGAAAACCCTCACCAATACGGATGCATTAAACAGCATAAAGATCTTGGCACAGTAGTAGAAAGATATTCTCCCCAACACGGATGCATTATACAGAATAAAGATCCCTCAGCATAGTAACAGAGAGAGATTCTCCCCAACAAAGATGCATTATACAGCATAAGGATCAAAATGCAACCCCCCCCCCCCCCCCCAACCAGAGGCATCATATAATATTTGGAGAAATTAATTCTCCCCAACACAAATGCATCATACAGAATAAAAATCTATAGTCTTTTTTCTACAAAAAAGGTGCCAGTAATCACCAGTCTAACAAAACTGCCAGTACACAACACAAAGTGTTTATTACAGTAACATACCATTGCGCCGTATGACCAGAAAAAAGCCCGTCATAGGAAAAGTGAAAAACTTTCATTTTAAAGATGCATTATCATCATACTACAACACTACAACATAAAGAACTCAACTCAACAATCACAGAAAGAGATCCCCACATACAGGTGCATTTTAGCATTCTACAGCACAAAGAAAAACAAAGCCATTGGCAGAGAATGAGATTACACTCTAAAGAGATGAGGATACAAGTCTATATCTGCATAAAGGAACAATGACAAATGAAAAACATATTTCCTTCTTGTCTCAAATACAGCAACAAAAAATGTGTCAGTATTTTGTAACTTTTTTAAGTCAAATGTTATTCTTTACCAAAAGAAAACCATAACTGCATGAAAAGTATACTCAATCAAAAAAGTTCGGCCGTTAAGTTGTGCGATCATTACAAGTGACTACTTGCCACAGAATCCTCAATATATTTTTGTTTCTTTATTTCTACTTCTACTGGCAACACCCTCTTGTCAACTTCCACAACTGACCATCACTAAATTCATTATGGCAGTTGTTACTACGTCTGTTTCTAGGATCGCCGATAGCGCGACAAAATCCAGAAAAGAATGCACTAGAGCCGACCGAAAACAAGAATGAATGAAGAGATGAATCCTGCAAGTGGTAGAGGTGGGATGAAGTGTTACCTTGCGTGCCGGAGTGTGGCACTTGCAAACAGCTACCGCTGTGAGAACCTGCAGCTACTGTCCAAGATGGCGGTCTACCACTGCCACAAGACATTACAACTTTAACGACTGTCTAGGGGACCAATGTCCCTAAAGTCCCTTGGAAAATGTACAACATTCATTACTGAACAGGGTCCGTTAGCGTAACAAACTGCTGCCGGCTGGGGATTAGCGTGCGGCGGCGATAAAGAGACCAGGGTGTCCTTGTAGTTAGCTCACAACTTTTGTTGATGCTCACCACTAAATGACGTCACGGTGTCACCACGAGTTTTATTCAAGATCTTACTTACCGGCGCAGGTGAATTTCTCTTTGCAACAATCATCGCCACGGTTCAGCAGGAATGAAGTAATGTGATGAAAAAAATGCTCATCAAGGTAATTCCTCCAAAGGGGTAAATTTTCCACTTAATGTCGTCGGCCTAGATCGGTGGTTTCCGGTTGGGGATCCCCTCTGGAAAGAAGGGATTCCCGCTTCTGGCGGCGGAAGTCAGGGGATTCCATCCAGTCTAGTCTGCGGCAACGGATTTCAATCCTTGGCTATTTGTGAGTTCCAGGGCCCCATTATGAGGGCAAACATAAATAGACCCACTTCCTACCCAACAAGCATGTCGTAAGAGTCGATTATTAGATATTTCTTTTGAAATCGGAGTGCATCTGCCTGAAAAGCAAGGAACCAACAATCTGCATACACATATGCCAGATCTCTTTAAACGGATGTGTACGCAACACCCAAGTTCTGAAACAAGGTTAAAATCCAGAAGTGGAGGAACAACCACAACTTTTCGCCAGAGATTACAGCCCGTGAACGCAAAGAAGAAGAAAATCCGTGGGTATGGATCCGTACTTCTTCTGCATTAGCTCTTAAAAAGGCGGTTGGTATATTGTGGTTTACAGCTAGGTTGTGATATCTGCACCTTTCAACTCAACACATCCGATTTCAGCAAACTTCTAATTAGTCGCCTTTTTCGTCATGCTTGTAAGATGGTAGTGGTATATTCTTATACACCCAGATCTAAAGCGATAATGATTTGGGAAGGGGCGGGGTCGATTTTATACATACACGCAAAGAGAAAGATCTATTTTCTTTATGATAGATGCTTATGTACACATTACATCGTTTAATAAACTGTTTTATTCAGACCGTTGGTGTAAATGTTATTTTGAACATCGAGAATAATATTGCAAAAAATGGACCTGTGCACATCCGGACAGGAAGAACGCTGGGCTGGATGCCTGATCTGCTTTGCATATTTCCAAGGAGCAGGTGCCCACACGGACGGCGACCAGCATGTCGCTAAGATGACCTCAAAAACCCAACCCAGGACCTCTGTTAACCGGCCAGACACGCAGCCTTGACATTGTGTTTACGTTGACCTTCGTTCTCGTCTTATACAGGACAAAGATCAATGGAATCGGCAAGCGGCGATTTGGATTGTGTGCGTAGGTGTGCCAGTTGGTATATGTTGTTGTTGTTGTTGTTGTTAAACTCAAAGCACTTGGGCGTAGTTCATTTGGCTCAGTGTCGTGAGCATGGAAGCCCTTCAGGCTCTGTGCCACGTATACCTTTAATCTCCGGAGTATGTTTTTCTTTTTTTGCCACCGGCTCGAACCCGAAACCGATGTGTGTGTATGTGTGAGGATCTGTGTGTCCGCGCGCGCGCACATGTATATGTGTGTACATTTAGTTGTGGCGTGCACAGGCGCGCTGAAGCAAATAAATAATTGTGTGGCGAGGGGCATCTAGTGGTACACATTGTATAGACAAAAATGTGTTTTTTCTTAAAATTATTTTTTTCTATATTTCATTCATGTTATTGCAACCGCCAGTACCCGAGGACCATGGAGCCGTGCCGCTGACTGTGGAAACATCGTCTGCTGTGACTGTAAAGTCCAAAGCGGGAGTGCTCTCTGTCAAAAAGTTGACATGAAAACGGTGATTCTCCTAGACTGGTTTTCCCTCGGACGTCTCCTCTCCCAAAGCTTGCTGCATTTGACCTTTTTCAGACTGTGACAGTCCGTGTATTACCTCCATAGGAGGCAGTCTTCAGCTGATCTTTCCCAAGTGTTACTTTAAGCAAATTATGTTTTAAATAAGTTTATATTCAACACATTATTTGTATTATTTATCATTATTATTAACAATATGCTGAATTGCAGATATATTTGAATTAATTTTAAATGTATGAAGAAATGCGTTTAAAGACAATTCGGATGCAAGGTTAAGGGCTCCCTTAAGTCTGTCACAACATTACTGACACAAGACACCTACAGATGGGTCATGTATACAACTTTTCAAAAGTCGAAGGCAACCTTATCATTTTTAGTACACTTTATTATAAGGACATAGAATGATACAATTAGGAAAGTTTGAAGTAGAATTTTAGTAGAAAATGGGTGTAATACCTTCATGTGATAGTCCTCAGTGCACGTGAAGCATGAAAACAGGTCAACAACATGGTTATCACGTGCAATTTGGTTGATGACCATACATTCACATTTTTATTTTTTATTTTCAAAACTTCCTTTCAACAAAACATGTAAGGTAATCGTGCTGATTAATATTCCACGTGCGATGGCGACAGTTCGTGAAGGAAGTTCGCTCTTAATGTCATCTGATATAGGATTGTTTCATTACTTGCAAAAACCAAGCCATCCAGAAATATTCGCACATTACAAAGAACGAGGACTTTAGAGTGGGTTGAAAACGGGTTTGACTTTCCTTGAAGTAAATCTGAACATTTTCTTCCCTGTAGCAACATCGGATGTGAGTCATGGACTGTCTCCCAGTCTTTAAGAAAGAAAATAGGAACTTTTGAGATGAAATGCTATAGAAAGATTCTCAGAATGTCATGGACAAAGAAGAAGAGAAATATTGATATTTTAAAAGATCTGAACATCAAGGAAGATTGGCTAATAAACAGCATCCTGTTATCGTAAGCTGAAATATGTTGGTCATATCAAACGCCATGGTGGCCTTAAAAAAAATAATATAAGAAATTATGGTATCAGGAAGGTGTGACAGGGGCCGACCAGCACGAAGGTAGGCACAGGAAATGAATGACTCCTCTAATATGAAAGCTCTCGAGGCGGGAGAGTTAGCGAGAGACTGAGTTTCTTTCAGACAGACCATGATGAGAGCGATTTTATGCAAAATATTCTACAATATGATGATCGTAAAAGTTGCTAGACATATTGCAGATTTCAGGCCACAGGAAATGTGGAAGATCGCCACCGGCCAGGTCTTGCTAGATCATGAGACCGGCACCTCTTGTTATCAGCTCTGCGACATCAAACAGTGACGTGTTCCACTCTAAGATGTCAGCAGAGACAAACTGTAAACGTTAATGTCACTCCAAGCATCATTCATAGACGTGTTCATGAATTTGGACTGGCTGCTCGATGTCCTGCATTCAGAATCGCGGTTACTCCTGACCATCGCAGAGCCTGTGTTGCTTGGTGTCGCAAGAACATCCAGCTTCTTCACTGATGAATCTCGCTTTAATCTTCTTCTTCACATTCAACAGCTGTAAACTTCAGCGGAAAGTTTTGATTGCTCGTCCACTTCTGGACCGTAGTCCTGTTCTAAAACCTGCGTGTTGCGTACGCGTCCATTTTTACAAATCTGATTTATTTATATACAGACGGTAGTTTCCTTGCCTTTCAGACAGAAGCACTCCGACTTCGAAGGAAGCTCGCAGTTAATCAACTGTTACCACATGCTTTGAGTAGGCAGTGGGTCTATTCTTGTTTTTCTACAATAGGGTTCTGGAACCCGTATGGTAAAATCTCTTTACTGTGGCATTCAAAGATGGAAGGATTCGCGTTTGGAGAGGATCAGGACAGAGATTAAGGATTGACTCAAGCAGAGAGGTAAATCGTTATGTTGAATCGTTCTGCCATAGCTTAGGTAGTCTTCTGTAACCACATCAGGACCCCACTCTATATCACCCCAAACAGTCTGACCGACTCTGGATACCAGAATGAAATGTAAAGACCAATTGTTCTGCTTCACTGGAAGCCATAGGTGGTAATGCCATTCTCTAAGATGATATCTGGATTTTTTCACCGGGGCACGCCGGTGTGTTGGGAAATGAACAGACGGACAGACCGGCTCTCTCTGCACAACGTGGTGGAATACTGATACATGATACGGCAGACGTGGTTAGTGCCTTGTGGGAGAGCGTGTACAGTTTGGAGGAGTAGATGGATCACCATAGTCTGGTGAGATTGATGCAGGGGAGAGTGACGAGAGGTTCTGGCAGATGCTCGAGGCTCAGAGGAAAGGCAAGACGGACGTTTAATGAGAACGTTACTGGCACCATTAGTATCGGAAGTCTTCGCTGGCTGCTGAAGATGGGGACGGAGCGCTTATTGGAATGTCCCGAGTGCTGTGATGTCGGTTCTTGAATCAAATCAAATCAAATCTAAGATGATATAACATTTGACACCATCGAGCTCGGGTGGTGAGTGACTTTAATCAGCAGCATGGGATCATCAGGAGGCTGACCAGCTCATTCCCCTAACTTTTCTCAGACTGAGCACCTCTGGGATATCCTTGCTCAGAAATGTTCAACGCTGCATTCAGATTACAGGGCAAACGAATTAACGAGAACCAGGGAGAGAAAACGCTGGGTATGTGTGTGTGTTTGTGTGTGTGTGTGTGTGTGTGTGTGTGTGAATGTGTGTGCACGAGTGCCTATAAATCTGATTACAACACAGCCACAAATCCTAAAAATAGCGAATTTTGTCGTAAATAAAATCTCATTTATACATACACACACACATATATATATATATATATATATATATATATATATATATATATATATATATATATATATATATAAATGAGAGATTTATCTGGCAGTTGCAACTGAATACTACGATCGCATGGTCATCTTTTTTTAAAAACAAATTTACATCAAAGATTTACATTTCTTGTTAATAAAAGATATGATCATTTGACAGTCTATTTTGTGGTTTAGTGATGTCCACTTTGCTTTATATATTGTTGTGTGTGGAAAAAAACCCCTTCTATTTACGACAAAAGTCCCT